CAATAATTACTCCCTAACAATCCCCTCCCCCCATCCCCATAAAATCTTCCCTTTTGACAAGTTCATTTAAGCAAAACAAATCATCATGTTGGCCGTTTCTGAAAATGTACCTCTCTGGTAAGAGAAGGTAGGCTGCTCCACCTCTGAAAGCATATTTGGTCACTGCTTTGATCAAAGGTGTCCTTCAATGATGTTGACATAAATTTATTGTGGCCATGGTATAAAAGTTGTTCTGGTTTTGCTTGATTTGCTCTACGTCTTTTCACACAAATCCAAGTTTCTCTGATTTTTTTTCATTCCTTTTTTCTAAGTGCATGGTAGTGTTCTATCATACTCACATACTACAAGTTGATCCCCAATTGATGGGCACCCACTTTCCTCCCAGTTCTCTTTTCATGAAGCATACTTCCCAACCAAACTGGTTGCTATTCTCCCAACTGCCTCTCAATTTCCTCCCTTTCTGTCTTTGCTTAAGCCCATTCCTTTTGCCTGAAATGCTTTCTCCAATCTCTTGACTGGAAATTCCACTGTCCGTTAACCTTAGCTCAAGTGAATTTTCTTCATGAAATCTTTCTTGAAGAGAAATCTATGTTTTTCTGAGCTTCCCCAGACTATGTGATACCTTATTGCATTATGTGGAGTTATGTTCATATTGGTAGTTAATAACATGGACAATCAAGTGGGGGAAACCTTAGTTTCTCCTCCCTACTAGGTTATCTGTTCCTTACGGTAAAAACTGTTTTATTTATGCACAATGCCTTGTAGATGCAACTATTTATTGAATGAATGTCTGTCTTGGACTCTGTCACTAATGCCAAGTCTTTTCTCTATACCACCCCTCTTCTGTCTGGGTAATGTGCTGAACAGGTTATCCTAGGTTTGTGTTTCTTAAAGGACTTGACAATTTCGAGGATATTTCTTCTCCCTGTTAGCGGCTGTCATCAAGAAGCTAACAAGTAGTCCATTTGGAGAGACTTCAATAGCTATGGTGACATTGGCCATTAGGCCACCTGCCATCTTTATAGATGACATTACAATTTGACTTTACTTTGTAAATTATTTTTCTTTGCAGAGATATTTATGCTTCAAGGCTAATAGAGAAGAATAAAAGAAAAGTAGCAGAAATGTAAGTTAAAAGGCAGGAAATAAGACTAGGGACAACAGAAAAAAAAACAGACCTTGAAATTATTCTTTAATCATTTGTTTCTAAAGACATTAAATGTCACATGGAAAACAAACATTTCCACTCAATGTATACACAGTTTAGTAAAATAAATAATATAGCTTTGTAGGCTAGTGGGGTCCTTGGATTGAGGAAGAAAGCAACTTTCTGTGTCTAGCATTCTTTAACCTCAGTTCAGAACATAGGAAGTCAGGAAGGGGGCCCATAGGTAAAATCATTATTTTATTTCATTTTCAGAAGCCAAAATAAATTCTTATGTTCAAGCTGTACCCTGAAATTTTCCAATTTAGTGGATTAATAATGGTAAAAATAAGGATTAATAGTGGTAAAGATAACATTTTATATTTACAAGTTAGTGTTTAAAACGCAATTGTTTATTTGTTCTTTCAAGCATTATTACTGCTTGTAAAATGAGGATGATGAAACTGGGCTTTGGAGAGGTTACCTGACTTGTCTAAAGCCATATGCCCAAGTTCATGGGAGATCTGGGGCTTGAACGCTTGGTTGTGACCCAAGGAACTGAATAAAACATATTAAATTCTAGTTTAGTTTCATGGTGGTTGTAGGTCTCTTTTCTTTTTCCTTAGCCTCTGCCTCCATTTCCTCTTAAGTAGAAAAGGCTCACAATTCTATCCTTTTAAAAGAATTGCTTGGGAGTTACTGAGGTTTGAATTGGGTCTTAGCTAAATTTTGTCTCTCCCAAAATGCTCTGCAGACATTAAATATTTACTTAATGTTTGTTGAATGAACAAATTGAGGGAGAAATTTTGAAGGAGCTCTTAAACTTATAACTTTATCAGTATTCTTTATTGTATTTCTGTTAGAAATAATGAGGTTAGGTTTCCATGTGGAATAAATTGGTAAATCTCCAAAATGATGTGAAACAGTGCAGATGTTTTCTGAGAATCAGATAATTCAATCAATTAGTCAAACAATAAACATTTATTAAGTGTTTACTATGTGCCAGATGCTATGTTTAGGTACTAGTTCCTTGATTCTCTAATTAAATGCTTAATGATCAGGCTTTTTTTTTTTTGGAAAATAATAAAGGTGTTTTGACAGGACCCAAGTTTGGACCTTTTTATCCTGGGGACTTTTTGTGAGTAGGGTGTGGTTTACTTAGTAAAGATGAGGTGGATTGTTTCTGGAGAAAAGAGCCCAGGAAGCTAGAATTGTAAGAAACAGTCAGAAAGACAAGATACAAGACAGCTGTTTGTATTTGGGAAGGGGAATTTATATTTTTTGTTTTTTTTTTTACAAGCACATGGTTGGTTGGTTGGTTAGCATTTCTGACTGCTTGACCCACAGCATAGGACCACACGTTTCACTTTAGGAAATACTTTTCAGAATTCTCCTGAGACTATACTGGTTGAGGATTAGGAAATGCAGTATTATATAAGCAGAGGTGTCAAACCAGCAGCCATAGAATAGGGTCAGCAATCTAGCCCAACCAGATTAAAATGTAATTGGGAAATATTTTAACAAAATGAATAAAAGTCCAGTGGGACATAGATAATGTTAATATGTGGTTATCTAAGTCAATAGGTGGCCTGCGGTGATCCTTATGTATGGTTTGTAGCCTTCATTTCCATTGGTGCAAGGCATTAAGCAAAAATAATACTTTTGGGAGAAACCACATGGGAGCTCGGAGACTTATGGTGTTAGCTGCCCGAACTCTTTTCAGATCAGCTGATCTCAAAGAATCTTTTCAACTTTATATTCTAGTACTTACCCATATCAACCTTTTCTGACTAGGCCAGTTTCCTCAGAACCTGAAAGGCAAAGAACTAGATTGGAGCACAGAGGTAGCAACAGATAAGACCAATACAACCCATGAGGTTCTAAGTTCTTTTAACACCCAGATCCTTTCTGCGTTAGGTATAGGTGATGTTTTATTCTGCAGTATCTGACCTGCGTATGGAATAAAGATCACTCATGCTAGTAATTAGCTTTCATTTGCTTCTCTTTGGCATGTGAGAATGCTTTAGGAAGTCCAATAATTGCTAAGGAATTTTCAAAATTCCATTTCTGCCAAAGAACATTTGTTGAACTTAGTGTTCTTAGAAAAAGATAACTGTTTCTAAAAATGTCATTTAGATTTTTCTTCTCTATGGAGAATATTACCTGATTAAACTACCTATGAGCTCTGTGTCTTAAAAAGACACGAGCAGGCTGCCATAGCTTATTATTACCATCTTCAACTGAATTAAATTTGATGACTTGATTTAGAAATCATTTGGAGAAAATAGAACTTCTGAGACTAATGCTAATATTTTCAGGTAATTTGGACTGGGCTGTTATTTTTTCTTAGTCTCAAGATGTGCCAGATATTTATCACATTACAATGGCAGGAAATTACAGCACTAGAATTAGTTTTCTATGCTGTCATCAAAGTACTTGTGAAAGCCTGGCAGAGATGTTTGGGAATACCATTCATTATATTTCTGAGAAAATTAAATTAACTTCCCTGGTTTTCATTACTCTGCACTTGCAGAGTAAATTTGAAGATCTAAGGAATTAGAATAAATCGGTTGAAAAATTTCTGGATTAAGGAAAAGCAGGGAGCTAATTAATTTGGAATGCATCATGATCTCTCTCCCATTCCTTTAGGGATTTCAGGTAGTTTAGTATTAACTGGCCCATTATCATTTATGTAGCACTTTAAGGTTTGCAAAACACTTTACAAATACTATATGATTTGACTTTCACAACAACCCTGGGGATTGCTATATCCCTTTTTATAATTGAGGAAACTGTGGTAAACAGGTTAAATGACTTGCCCAGGGTCACACCTGTAGTAAGTATCTGAGGTCTGATTTGAATTTAGGTCTTCCTAACTCCTGGAATTCCAATAATTCAAAATTATTTCACTTCCTAAAGCACTTCCATGTGCTAAAGGCAGGCAAGTGAAACCTAATTACTAGCAGGAGTGATCTACTGTACCACCTAGCTGCCTGCTATTTAGATAATTAGGCACTTTAAAGCAACAAAGTTATCTAGTGTATAGTCTTACCTTTATATTCACACTGCCCCAAAGATCCAAATATTTGATGTTTTGAGACACACAAGGCCAATATTGATTTTGTCAGATCAATTATACATTGCTCCGAATTCAACCGTTATTAAAATGTCTGGAATTATCAGACCCATTTTGATTCAGACTTTTATACTTAGCCACTTGTGCTACCTCCAGCTTCTATGCTGTTAAACAAACAAAAGAAAAACCAACCAACCAATAATAAAGAGTGCTAGACAGCATACTTGACTTTATGATTAGGGGGCCTAAAGAGAATATAGATAACTGAAATACAAAGCTAGTCTTTGGTCCTACTTTTAGCTCTATAGCAGCATACTCCAACAAAACTTAACTAATCTAAGGGTGGCCACCTTTAAAGCCTTCAGGACTTACAGACTTATGGTGGCAACTAGTTCTCTTCTCTAAATCTTGTGATGTTTCTGTGTTAACACTTTTTTTTTTTTTGAGACAAAGTTTTACAGTCTGCTGAAGTCCCCTGAAAGGTCTTTTAAAAAATCGCCTCTTGTTAAAACTAGCCCTCTCAGTCTGCTGCCACCCAACGGCATTCCATGTCACAGTTAAATTTGCTCAAAAATTTGTACAAAGCTGCCTTTTTGTGCCTTTGGAATTCTTGTCTTATTATACCTAGGAGATGTTGGTCTGTTCTTTCCTGTGATCAGCCATTCAGTGATCAGATGCTGATTTAATCGACCATGCTCTTCAGATTCCTCAGAGGAATTTCAGGAATTCAGGCAAATACAATCTTGCTCTTATGCATAATCTATTTTTTTTCTAGGAGAAAGATAGCACAGATGACCCTAGAGAAGCAGAAAGAAAGGTTTTATGTTTGTTGAATGACCATTATTAGAGAACTTCTTCACAGATACCCTGTGAGGTAGGTAATAATATTGTTCTACTGATTATACAGATGAGGAAATGGGCGCTTTGAAAAATCTGTCACTTTCTCATGATCACAGAGTAATTGATTAATAAGGATTCTATCCTAGATCTAGAATAGACTTAGGCAGCTAGGTGGGACGGTGGATAGTATGTTGGACTTGAAGTCAGGAAGACCTGAGTTCAAATCCTACCTAGATGCTTAACTATGTGACACACAGCAAGTCACTTAACCTCTGTCTATCTCCATTTTCTTATCTGTAAAATAGAGGTAATAATAGCACTTACCACCCAAAATTAAATTCCTTGTACACTTCAAAGCACTGTGTAAATTAATGCTAGCTCTTATTGTTATTTAATCTGCTAACTCCTTCCTTAACCAGTGCTCTTTCTACTTCATATAAAGCTCTGATGAAGAAGGCAGATGAGGGGTAGTTCTGTTTGTTGAGTGTGTCCCATTGGGTGACTATATCATTTTCAAGCTTAAGCTAAGAAAGTCAGTGGTATTAAATTTAAATGTTTTAACATTTGGATAAATTTCTAACTTTTGGAGATACCTACAAAAGATGATTCTAAAAATAGGAGAGAGTATGCCCTAAAATGTGTTATTTCCTGCTTATGAGGATAAAGTTTCAGGATTATTTATGACTGGTATTTTGAGTCTAATCTGTATGACATAAGCCACATAGATAATTTCCATGGTAACTCTGGGTGTGTGTTACGTATATCTCAAGGCTAATTGATAGAATAACATAGACAGGAAAAAAACCATAGGAAAATGTGCCATGTAACAGTATTTTCTTAAGCAGACTGTTGGATTAAAAACATTTTGCTCAAAACAAGGCCCATTGAGCTTCTATTCACAGGGCACAGCTTTAGGGATTTCTGGCCCTCTGCTTTTCCACATACTCAGAACCCTGAATACTAAGCTTCTCCCTGAAACAGAGGTCCATGGTGTTTTCTTCTGAAGGCTTTTGAGTCACTTTGAGACACTTTGGTCACCTAAGACTTGAAGAGGAGAATCACCCAAAAAGGCAGTTGAGAAGAGTATGGCAGGCCTGAGAAGGCCTCAAAGCATGATAAACAAAGAATGTGGAAAATAAAGAATAAAGGATGCTATTAAAGAAATAGGTGATCTCTAAAGAAGAGAGACTGGTCACCTGACAAGAGCAAGGGATAGTGATGTATACATCTTATGTGTTCCCCTGGCTTCTTGCAATGTGAAAGGTAGTCAAAGGCAGACCCCTAGCATTTGGGGTTCATAGATACCCTGTGGTGAATTTATGAAAGGATATAGACAGCATAGGATGGGGGCGGGGGAAAGCGCCTTACTCTGCTCTTATGTCTCACTTGTCTAGCAAAACCAGTGCCTTTTACAGTCTACCCCCTAGTTCTACTCCTTCGGGAAGACTCCAAGGCCTGTCACCTCTGTGAAGCTTTCCTTGATTATCCCAGTAGGAAGTGAATCCTCCTTCCTTTGTATTGCATATACCACCCATATGGTCTGGAGTTATTTTTCTCTGTGCCTTATCTCCCCAACCAGATTGTAAGAGCAAAGAGTATATTGTAAGAACAAAGAATGTGTCCTGTCATTTTATTTGTACCTCCTTGCCTTGTTCTTGTATACCCCTAGCCCTCAAATGTAGCATAGTATCTCACACATAGTAGGCCATCAATTAAAAAAAAAAGGCAGTTCTCAGTGTGCGAATGAATGGTGTTCAAAGACTAGGTTTGTAATTCATTTCTTTGGATTAGCCAACACATTTTCCACTAGGGGCAATATTATAAAAAGGTAGTTATCTGCCTAAATGAAATACCACATAAGAAGTGTTTTGCAACCTTATGAGCAATTTATAAATGTCAAGTACTATTATTATTATCATAGACTGCAAAATAAATAGCCTCAATAAGACAGACTGAATTTTGGGTTCTAGAATTCTAGGCCAAAGGGCTGGATTTAGGCTTTTTGGGGGGGTAGGCTTCTACTGCCCATGACTCCAGACCCATCTCCAAGCCCCCAGTACTGGTGCTTTATCTTAATCCTCTCATTAAGTCCCCTAGGCTTGTCTTAACTCCCAAATGTTCAACATTTAAAAATTACCTATAGTTCTCCAGCTCTGGACCACACCTCACCCCCCAAACAAAACTGTCATTTCCTTACTGAAATGGATCACAGGGAGGTTTTTGTACTGTTTGACTAACAATGGATTTAGTTTTTTTTGGAGGCCTTTACAAGCACAATTATAGTCTAATTAATAGAATGTTGGACTACAGTAAAACCAAATGAGGAAGCTGGGAAAGACATTTAAGGGGATGGGAGTTGCAGCCATTTTGGGGCTACCCTGCTTTGGGAGTGTGAACCTCAGCCTTTTCCCTGTGTTCCAGCTTTTATTTTTTCCTTGCTGTTTGGTGAGGCAAATGCGGTTAAGTGACTTGCCCGGAGTCACACAGCTAGAAAATGTTAAGTGTCTGAGGCTGGATTTGAACTCAGGTTCTCCTAACTCCAAGGTTGGAGCTCTATCCACTGCGCCATCTAGCTGCCCTGCCAAGCTGCTTTTGATTTTTAAAACGTCTTCCCACTTTTGCTTAATTCTTTAAAAACTCCCAAGAATTTTCAGGGAGGCAGGGAAAGCCAGGGACTTTGGGAACCACCAAGTTAGATGCTTTTAAGTTGGGAGTTGCTCAATGAATTAATTAATATCAAGTGTTGGTAAATGTTATAAAAAAAATTTCACATGAGTTTTGAATGATCATTTCTTTTTCCATCTGGTTGTTCATCTTGAGTACTGAAGTTGTAATTCTAAAAAAATAAAGTGTTGAGTGTAAAAAACATTCACTAGGAAACGGGTTGCATATCACTTGAGGTCTTCAAAGACACACTGTCTGTTAAAGAGTAGATTCCTGTTCAGATATGGTTTGGAATAGATGACTTCTGAGATCTCTTCCAATTTTGAGATTCTGTGAAAACTGAGAAGCAACAGATTTGTAATGTTTTAGGCTGTCCAGATGAAAACTTCACATTCAATAGAGAGCTTAAGTTGTGAAAGCATTGCTTTTAGATCATCTCCCTGTCCAGATGTTACATCTAATTAAATTGTATTTGAAAGGAAATTAGACATTTCATCTTTGATCTTGCCCTATTTGCTGATTGCCTTTACTGAGTTGGACTCGAGGATTTTGAATCAAGACCCTGTTTTTAGGGTCTTTTAGGACCCTGTTAAAACATGGTGCTGTGAGTTTCCTTGGTGTAGTATGCCTTATAAGTTAAACTTGTTCAAAAGACATGGACTTGGAGAGTTAAACAACAGTTAGAACCAAAATGGGGCAGCTAGGTGACACAGTGGATAGAGCACTGGCCCTGGAATCAGGAGGACCCAAGTTCAAATTTGGCCTCAGACACATGGTACTCACAAGCTGTGGGACCTTGGGCAAGTCACTTAACCCCAGTTGTCTCACCAAAAAAAACAACAACAAACAAACCACACACACACACACCCAAAATGGAGTCATGAAGAGTCAGATACAAGAACAACAAAAACATAAATGGGAAGTGTGTTTAGGGTTTATTTAGGGATTGGTGCTCGTGGAAGAGAGGCTTTCTCATTTTTGTGAGTGGAGTCTAGACCATGTGAGCTAGGCCCAGACAGGCAGGCAAAGCTAAAAAGTGTTTTTGGTGGCAGGACACAGCACAGCTATGTTTAATTGAAGCTCAGCTCAGCAGATGCCTCGATGAATTGATAGATACCAGATTTTATCGTTGGGGTGACCTGGGGAATGAATCTTCAGCTAGCTAGAATCTTTTTGTCTGTTTTGCTGTTTTGAGCAAGAGGCAAATGACAAAAATAATTGGGGAGGGGGGAAGAAGAAAAGAACAAAACAATTTCAGTACTTAAGTACTGAAAGTACTTAAAAAAGTAGAAAGTACTTAAGTACTTTCTAAAGTTGTTAAGGAAAAGGCCATTTTGTTGAATTATTTGGATCCCCCCACAATCATTACTGATCAAGTGCTTCCCACTATGTGCCGGGCTTGTGAAAGGTTCACCCAGAGCAACTGGTGAGCCATTGCCTGTGCAGCCTGAGAAACCAGCTTAGGCTCTATGACATGACACTTGGGAAGGAAGGAAGGAAGGAAGGAAGGAAGTGGAGCCTGGTAACAGTAATGCACCCATAGAAAGAAAGAGAAAAAAGAAAGAAGGAAGGAAAAAAGGGAGGAAGGAAGGAATTGGAGCCTGGAAAAAGCATATGCAGTGTTCCACACCTATAGGAAGAAAGAAAGAGAAAAAAGAAGGAAGGAAGGGAGAAAGAGGATACGGGAAACAATACATTCAGTGTTCCATATTCGAGAGAGAAGAGCCTGGAAACACCCATAGTGCCCAGCCTCTGGAAAGAAGGTAGGTGGGTACATTTTCTCATCTCTTCTTTGGCCTCAAGCTCACCCACAATAATCACAAAGCATTGTTTCATTTCTTTGTCCCTTATTTACATTGTTGTAGTCAGTGTATACATTGTTTTCCTCAATCTGCTTTCTTCGTTGTATCACTTTCCCAAGCTCCTCTGATTTCATCTTCACAATTTCTTAACAGGAATATTCAGTTTAATTTTATATCACAGTTTATTTAGTTGTTGTCTGATGGAGGAGCATTCACTTTGTTTTCATACTTTTGTTAGATGTTGGTGTATGTGAGATCTTTCTGTCTTTGATCTCCTTAGGGTATATGGCTAGCAATGGAATTTTTTGGGTTATATGGTCATTTTCTTTGTATAAATTCAAATTTCAAATAATTCCAAGTTTCTTTCTAGAAGGTTTGGAACCAATTCACAGCCCCACCAACAGTGTTTCTTCAGCATTTCTTACATCTGCTATTTCCATTTTTGTCAGTTTGCTGGGTATGAGAGTAATTCAATTCTTTTGTTGTGTAGTTTTTTAAATTAGGAAATTGTCGCAATCTTTCGTATTTTGCAATTTTCCCTTGAACTGTTTTCATATCCTTTGACCACGTATCCATTGAAGAATGGATCTTGTTCTTATATATCTGTTATTTTCCTATATATCTTAGATATAAGACCTTTTTCAGAGAGTTGTTCAAAAGTCCCTCCCTCTCCCCCCTTTGGTTCATAGTGTCTGTTTTTATGCCTACTGCACTGATGGACTGTTTTGTTTTTTAAACATTTATAGAGTATGCAAAGGGCAGCTAGGTAGTACAGTGGAAGGAGCATTGGGCTTGGAGTCAGGAAGAGCTGAATTCAAATTTGGCCTCAGACACTTACTAGCTGTGTGGCCCCAAGTCACTTAACTCTGTTTGCCTCAGTTTCCTCATCTGTAAAATAAACTGGAGAAGGAAATGGCAAACGACTCGTATCACTGCCAGGAAAACCCCAAATGAGGTTCCGAAGAGTCAAACACAACTGAAAAGACTGAACAAGAGCATATAAAGAAGTACAAGACAGGTTTTGAGTCTAATTGGAAGGAATAACATTCTAGTTGGAGGAGAAATGGTTAGCTTATAGCATTATAGAATGATAGAATTTAGTACTAGAGGAAAGGTAAGTTTGAACATCATTTGCAGATATTTTGAAGATTATTCTGGCTTCTGCTGGAATGATTACAAATTGGATAATGGAGAAGCTTGATTGTCATCAGCATCCACCAGGTAAAGGGTGAAAGGCCAATCAGCTACCTGGCACATTCCTAAGCCGCGTTACTTAGAAGCTTTGTCTCATTAAAACCAACTCTATAAAGGAAAGCTTTGTGTTCTACACCTTTTTTTTTTTTAAAGAGGCATTTATAAACTAATAACAGCTTTTCTCTCTGATAAGCCATTAAAGGGTGGTATCCTGTTTATGACAGTGAGGAAAGAAGAAAGAGCTTGCCAATAAAAAATGCATAGTATTTGATGTTATTAAAAGGTGGAATGCTTTTCATCATTTCAACCCTATTTTCACCACCATCTTTGTAGGGAGCCTTTAAAATTGGACAAATGAGATAGGCTTTGTCTTTGAAATCCCGACCATGAGGTCACTTTATTTTTTCTTTCATTTGTTTTCCAGCTTTGCAGTGGCACTTAGGTTAATTCTGAATTAGAAGTTTATGGAGAAGATAGATTTAGGATGTTCTCTTCAGGCAAGCATGCATTCACTCTTTAATTTTAGAGAAACTGGCAGCTTTAAAGAGGGTTTTTCTAGAAAGAAAAACAAGAAAGGAGTTGAGAATGAAATTGCATTGTTGACATCATCTCATAGTCAGAAGTGTTATAATAATTTTTTTCTAGATTCAGGGTAAGAGGTAGGCTTGTACTTTATATAAGATCATAGGCTTAGAGCTATACTGGATCCTAGAGGTCATTGAATTTGACCTTCTCATTTGAACTCAGGGGCTGAAGTGATTTGCCCACGGTCACAAATATTAAATGGTTGACCTAGGATTTGAACCCAGGTCATCTATCCAAATTGTATTATCTTTCTCCTGAACCCTGTTGTCTCCCATTGATAATTGATTATAGAAAAAATCTGGGTTTGAAGTTGGAAGAAATAAGAAGTCTACTATTGTACAAATTTGTTCCAGTAAAGAAAGGGTAACTTAATTATTTAGACAATGCTTTCAAAATATTTCGGCAGCTTTCTATCTGAAAGCACGGGAGGAGGAAATCTTCCCATATACCTGACATAGAAAGTAGAACAATTAGGTCATTGTGAAAACAGGGAAGTACTTTCATCATATTTATTGTTTTGGAATCCAACTGCTTTGGAGCCTGAGCATGAATGGGTGTGTGTGTGTGGGGTGTGTGTGTGTGTGTGTGTGTGTGTGTGTGTGTGTGTGTGTAAAGTATGGAAAGAGCTGAAATTTTAAGTGAGACAAACTGTCATTCCATGATTGTAGTATTTTTCTTCAAAAAATCATCCTGGGAGGAAGATAATTTGTTTCTAGTTTATTTTTCTCTAGCATGAAAGGTAGAAATAAATATTTAGCTCTTAGCTTTTACCCAATGATGAACATCCTGGCTGGAATTTATCATAATTTTGCTGTGATATGTTGTAATATTATGTAATATGTAAAATTACATAGCAACATATACTATAGTGTGTATATATACTTATATAAAAATACAGTTCATTTTCTGGGGTTTTTTTTGGGAGGGGGGAGGCAATTGAAGTTAAGTGACTTGCCCAGGGTCACATAGCTAATAAAATATCTGAGACTGGATTTGAATTCAGTCCCTCCTGACTCCAGAGACAGTGCTCTATCTATTGTGTCACCTAACAGCCTCATAAGTACAGATCAGATGGGTAGAGATTGATGGGTTAGAGATGAGATCAGCTAAAAATAACTTACCTTTACGTGGTGCTTTGAATATTGAAAAAATGTTTTGGTTATCTTGTTTTTAACATCGCCATCATTTCCACATCTATCCCCCCTTCCCTTCCTCCAACATTCACTGTAACAAAGAATAAAAAAAGAGACAGAAGCAGTTTGGCTGAACTGGCCAACCTACCAAGCAGGCCTGAAGTCTATACAGTGTTTTGCAACCGTCTCTTCAAAGGAGGGAGGGAGGGAGGTATATTTCCTTCTAATTATATGGGTGCTTTATATTTCACAAAACACTTTCCTCATAATATTTCCGTGAGGCAGACAGCACAGATACCATTTAACAGATGAAGGAACTGAGATGTAAAGTGGTATGAAATCAGTTAGGCTTCAAATCCAGCCAGTTCTCCTGATGCCAAGTTCAACCCTCTTTCCATTATTATAATTACCTTTCTAAAGGTACATGTGTTATAAAAATAGCAATGCAATATAAACTCAAGGTTAATTTATCTGCCTGCCCCCAGGATAATGTTCTAATAATAAAGCCTTGTGTTTATATCATACTTTACAAGGTACCTTTACATCTTATTTGATCTGTCTGGTAGCCAGGACAATTATTTCCATTTTACATAGGAGGAAACTGAGGCTCAGAGAAGAGAAATACCTGCCTTGCCCAAGATTTTGACTTGCTCAAGATGGTAAGTGGCAGAGGCAGGAGTAGAATCCAGATTGGCCAACTTCCTAGTCCAAGACTATCCCAGAGTTCTTATGTCCAACTATATTTTTCTGATACGCACTTTTAAGGATGGTTCCAGAATTGAAAGGGATATTGTATACCTATTAAAAAGAAATGGACTGCATCTGTGTGGTCACAGCTGACTTTCCAAAGAATGCTTTTCTTCCCATTATCTTTGAAAGATTCTTTTGTGTGTGTTTAGTTTGTATTATCTATACACACGCCCTCTGTTCAGCAATGGAAAAAGCAATTTAAGGCCCTCCCATTTTATACATTTTCGTAGTTGTGCAAGATAGTAGTAATAACTATCATTTATATAGTGTTTTAAGGTCTATAAAGAGCTTTACATACACACACACACACACATATAATCTTATTGGATCAAAGAGAAAGTGTGATTGATACCTGAAATTTGTATTTTATATTTACCTGTCAGACACATCAGATTCAATTCAGCAAACATTTCTAGATACCCTCTTCTCTGCCCCCCAAACCCCCCCAAAGCAGTAGCTACCCTCAAAACACATTCCATTGGGACAGTCTTTCTGCTTCCTGTTAAGGCCCCCTTCAGTTTTGTAGAGGGGGAACCTGGAAGTAGCAATGGGGAGCGAAGAGCTTTTCAACTCCCCCAGCTGTAGGGGATAGGTATGAATAAATGTGCAATCAGATGTATCATCAAGAGGGAGCCAGTTATCAATGAGTGCAAGATGATGGAGGGTGTGAAAAAAGAAAAGCAATTTTGTTACCTGTAGTATAGCAGGCATTTGAGAAGGTACAGTGGAAGAGAGTGGGTAGCTTCAAAGTGGGATAGTCTAGGGAATTGAGTGGAGGGTGATGTAAATAAGGGATCTGTCGGGGGCGGGGGATAGAGAACTGGATTTGAACAATGACGTTCAGAAACACTGGGATGGGGTGGGGAGGATGGGGTAGAAATATGTTAATCATTGAGGAATGAGTTTAGGTGAGTTATTGGGGAGGCAAACAGAGTTAAGTGACTTGCCCAGGGTCATCAAGCTAGTAAGTGTCTGGGCCAGATCTGAACTCAGGAAGATAAATCTTCCTGACTCCAGGCCTGGCTCTCTATCTACTACACCATCTAGCTGCCCTTGATTTCATCAGTGTAGAGAGTTTATAGTGAGGAAACTTCTTTACCAATGTGGATTGGTACCTGCTCTGCCCCTTATCATGGGATGGTAGATCCAGAGTTGGAAGAGACCTCAGAAGCCATAGTATAGATCTGGACAGCTGCCTTAGAGAGCTGAGAGCTTATAGGTGGCATAGCTTGGCCTGAATCATACAGCCAGAATGTTAAAGGTGGGATTTGAATAAAGATCTTCCTGTTGCCCAGACTGGCTCTGGGACCATTGTGCCAAATGCTGACTCTCATTATTATTAGTCATGGTATAATCATCACATGGACAAAACATCGATGATAATGGTATCCCTTTCTCTTTTTTGACCAGATTTCAACAGCACCATGGGGTGCAAAGTATTCCTCAATTTTGGACAGCAGCTGCTGCGGCGAAAAGTTGTGAACTGGAGCCGAGAGCAGAGTCGACTGTCCCGCTGCTTGAATACTTTTGATTTGGTAGCTCTTGGTGTAGGCAGTACACTCGGAGCAGGTGTCTATGTATTGGCTGGAGCCGTCGCCCGGAAGAATGCTGGCCCTGCCATCGTTATCTCTTTCCTAATTGCTGCATTGGCCTCCGTGTTGGCAGGACTGTGTTACGGAGAGTTTGGTGCTAGAGTTCCAAAGACTGGTTCCGCTTACCTCTACAGCTACGTCACTGTGGGTGAGCTCTGGGCTTTCATCACCGGCTGGAACTTAATTCTCTCCTATATCATTGGTAAGTAGTTTGAGTGTTGTCTTCAGTTTTGTGCTTATAAGCTAGAGCCCTGTTTCTTCCTCCACTTTACTACAATCCCACCCTTTCTACTCTTGGGTTGGAGCCTACCCTGTCTTTAATTTTGACTATTGGAATTTTAGACTTGGAGAAGATGGGAACCACATTCCCATATGCATCACAATCTAGGAAAACTTTACTGGGTAACTAAGCTCTGCTAATGAGAGTTTGATTCTTCTAAAATTGAACTTTTCTGTTTACTTTCTGATCCTGTTAAAATTAAAATATGATAGGTAGGGCTGGGTGGGTCACAGATAGTTTATGAATTCATCTTGTCTCGAGATAGTGCATTTTGTTTGGCCTACCAATGGTAGGGCAAAGGAGGGCAGGGTTTAGCCACAGAATTCAGCCCCTCCTCTCAGTCTGTGGGTGAGGGGGCTGCTGCTTTAACAAAGGCCCAGCTGGTGCAGAGGTCAGTGGGATGAGTCTTTCTACGTCATTTCAGCGCCTGCAGTCTCTGTTGATAGCCAAAACACACTTTATTCTTCTAAGTTTAAAATGAAAACAAGTAACAGAGGATATTTTTAAAAAGTTAAACATTAAAAGTTTCTTGCCATAAATAAATAGATTTAGCAGGCCAAAGCATGTGAGAGTTTATAAACATGATTACATGAAATGGACTATTATATTTCCAGAGGGGTTTTTGAGTGGGGAGAGTTAAGAAAAATATTTATTGCGCTTTCTTGACCAACATGAAAAACCCTCAGCCTTAGCTACTAAAAACAGCAAAATGTAACATGTTCAGGAAAGGACTTGGGATTTCATTGATATAGGTTATTCCCAGGTAAGGAAATTCTATTCACCAATGCAGGTCAGCATCTTCTTCACAGCCTAGTCTCACAGAGCACTGAGAAAGTTAAATGACTTGCCTGTATAGGGGTGTGTGTGTGTGTGTGTGTGTGTGTGTGTGTGTGTGTGTGTGTCTTCCAGGGCCTGAGGCTAGATTTCTACCAGCTACGCCATTGTTGCCTCATAATCCAGTATTATAAAACCTTCAGTTCAATATTATAATTTTGAAAGTTGAAATGATAGACTGAAAACTGGAGTGAGATCTCTTTGTGTGTATGTGGGGAATATTATTTAGTTGGGTTATAACTTTGAAAGATATTATTTATAATAAGTTCTTTATGGGTCCAAAGTATAATGAAATCTGTAGTTAAAATAATTTTTATAACATTAAACAACTGAGGGATGTTTCTCAGTTGCAAACTTCTATTAATTCATATTATGGTTATCATCAGAGCTATTTTGAAAATGAAGGGGACTCTGAATAAATATTTTAATTTAAAGAATCTTCTTTTTGAAAAACCACAATAAAGAATTTATTGGTGGGTATGGGGGAATGAAAGAAAACTTCCACATTTATTTGGCATGATGCTACCTCCATTTATGTGCCTGTCATTATTGTGAAATGGTATAAGAAGGCTCTCTGGGTAGCTGTCTCCATCAGCACATTCCAAGCTTACCATTTGAGACCTGAGTTGGGTGGAACATACATGAATCTCTTATAGGTTCTGTGGGGTGAGCAGCATCTTAGATGGTTGTTGACCTTTTGCTGAAGGAAGCCATGAGTTAAAGCCCAGAGTATTGTTCTGGAGTGCTGAGTGTGATGGGCCAGTCTCCCTAGGAAGGGTGGATGACCTTGCCCTCTTCTTTTTTTCTGCAATCAGTATTGACATAATGGATACTTCCCACAAATGAGATTTGTGAAGTTGGCATCCTGGGTGGGCAGATCCAGAAAATGGAGGCTGTTCCTAGCTGTTACAAGGGCACACAATTGCCTAGAAACATTAGCGGGAATCTCTGTTCTTCCCTGTCAGTGTTCTGTTGGCTGGCCCCTGCCTGCCGTGTCAATGGGTATATTTCATAGCATCAGCTGCATTTCCTGCACTGTGCTCAGAGATGAATGTTTAAGTGCATTATTTTCTATGAACTTTCCTTGGTGATTATGTCTCCTGACAGGTACCTCAAGTGTCGCAAGAGCATGGAGTGCAACATTTGATGAACTGATAGGCAAACTTATTGGAGATTTCTCCCGAACGCATATGTCTCTGGATACTCCAGGACTAGCTGAATACCCAGACATATTTTCTGTAATTATCATTCTGATTCTAACAGGTAAATGAGTACATTAAAAATCATCTTGGGTAGCTATTCATGTAACAGACACCTCTAGTATTTTCATTATTTGGCAGCAAGAAGCAACAATCTTCATTTATTTTGGGCTGGGCTTCTGATTCATTAACTTTTTTTGTTAATTGTAAACATGGACTGGCTTATTTAATAGCTGTAGAGCTGATCTGTGTATGCCTTTTTCTGGTCTAAATCCCTAATTTTACTGGTGAGCAGAGGCCTTGAGAGGTTGAGTGACTTGCCTTAGGTCACCTAGCTGGTTCAGGGTCAGCATCCAGATTAAAGCCTGGGTCTCCTCTTTACAATCCCTCAAGTTAGATGAGAATCTGAGTGTTTGATTAAACTCTCGATTTGTGGAGTAAGATTTCTTCAGCAAACATTTTTGTTTAGGTGACAGAAATGGGATATAAGTTATTTAGCAGAAGCCTGCCTGGTAAGTAAAGTGGTCAGGCCTCATGATCTTGCCAGTTGATAGAGGTTGCCAGTCAGCAAAATGTAGAGCAACACAGGAGGACTGTGGAACTTTCTCAAGTGTGCCTGTGTATTTAATGGAAATATTTGTTTGTTTTGTACCCAACAACTATCAAAACAGATCTTTAAAAAGAGGAAATGTGCTAAATATTAGTCTTGGTCACAGAATTATAAAAATATTTCTGGAAAACACAGCTTGTCTGGAACATAAAATCTTCAGACATCTTTAATACCAGCATGGGAGATTTTCCTCTGTATAGTTTACCTGAGAAAAGGAGAGATTGACAAATTGATTTACGTGATCTAAATGTTAACTCAGAAGGCAAGTCAGGTCTCATTTAAGGTTCACAAAAGTTAGGTGAGTTTTAGAAGTCAACTACTACTTATTCTGCATGTCAAAGAATTGAAGTCTTATACCACGGGCTGCTTTCAGTGGCTTAGCTAATAGATCAGCCCCAAATCTCGGAAAGTTGGAGCTTGGGAGATTTTCATTTTTAACCTTGTAAACTTAAGAGGGAAGCAACTTTGAAGAGGCTGTTGTGTAGGAGAATAAGAGTTGTTTTCTTCAACCCACCTTTTAGGGTTGTTGTGAGGATAAACACGAGCTATTTGTAAAGTACTTAGCATAATGCCTGGCACATAGTAAGGATCTATATAAATGCTAACTATAGTAATGGTCATGATAATAATAAAAATAGTTATCATATTATACCTAATGTTTTTCTTCCCCCCCCCATGGGGTATATTCCATGCCCTACTTTGCATATTTAAATCAAATAAACTAAATAGAGGTGGCTAAATTTTGAAAAACTAAAAAACATCAGGAGAAACTTCAAAATTCGGTAGGGTAGGGTTAGGTACAGGACATCTAGTTACCCTCCTACAGTCTGGCTTACATGGTTATTGTTAGTATATATGTCATTAGAAGACCTAGGTTCTAGTTCCAATATGATCATAGACCCTTGCCAACTCTAAATCTGTTTCTTCCTCCATAAAAAGGAGGATAATCAGAAGAGGCAATGTGAAATAGTGGACAGAATATTGGATTTAGGGGATCTGGTTTCAAATCCCAGTCCATTCATTTGCCAGCTGGATGGTCTTGAGCAAGTCACTTAAACTCTCTCTGGCTTGAGTTTATTTGTAAGGACCCTAGGTCCCTTCAAGCTCTGAATCTGTGAATTGACTTAGAGACTTGTTGTGACAATCAAGTGAGAAAAGGAAAGTTTTGTTTAGGTTTTTTTTTTTTTTAAACTAGGAAACTATAAAACCAACGTACGAGCATTTTAAGCGCATACTGCATGCCAGGCACAATGTTAGGGAGGCCCCAGTACAAAGAGCGGAACAATGCCTATTCTTAGGGGACTTATAAAGTAAAGTATTGCTTGCTTGGTGCAAATTTTATCTTTTAAATATCATACTTTATTTGTGCGTTTTTCCCCAGCGCTTTTAACTTTCGGCGTGAAAGAATCAGCCATGGTTAACAAAGTTTTCACTTGTATCAATGTTCTCGTCCTGGGCTTTGTGATGGTATCAGGCTTTGTGAAGGGATCCGTGAAAAACTGGCAGCTTACCAAAGAAAATATGAATGCTAATGACAGTATGTGTTTGAAAAAGTAAGTGGTCAAGTTTTGGGATGTGTGTGCACATGGACAGACAGCTCATTTTTCAGATTTAAGTCAAATTTATACTCATTTTAATGTATTTAACAACACACTGTTCATGGTATCACACATCATGAAACACGTTCTTTTTTTAATCTAATTTTAATGAGTCTTAGCAATATTCTTTACCATAATGAAGTAGTCCAAAGGTATTTTTCATAATGTTTGGAATGTATTTTGGGTATATTATTCATTAAAACTGGGTATAACTTTGTAAATTCACACAGTGGTATTTGGAGAGTTAATTCTCCTTTAAATTTTAATATTGTGCAGGTTCACCAAATGACCTCTGCTCCCTTTTAAATCTCCACCACAATTATTTCAGTCTTAACTTCAGTTTTTTATTTCAGGCACATTTTTCTATTTGATAGCATGGTAGTACCCTGCTTCATTATAGATGCCCTCCAGTTTAAGTTTAACAATGTAAAGACAGTAGGGATGGGCAATGTGCAGGGACAGAAAGGGAGGGAGGGCTTTCTTGAGACATGAACTGTCATTTTTATATCCAGCTTTTTCCAAAGCAAATTATACACCTAGTACCTGGGACAGTGCTTTGCATATAATAGATTCTGTGTGTGTGTATGTGTGCTGATGTCTTTTTTAAAAATTATTTCCCCCCCAATTACATGTTAAAACAATTTTAGCATTCTTTTTTTTTTTAATTTATGAGTTCCAAATTCTATCTATCTTTCCGTCTCCTCCCCCTTCCTGAGATAGTAAGCAATCTGATAAAGGTTATAGAGCACATAATAGATTCTTTTTTTTCTTTTAAAGAAAGTTATTAATTTTTCATATTCTTTTTAGATTCTTAATTATTTGTTGAATGAATAGGTAAGTGTCTGATTATGTGACTGGGGGCTTATTTGTATGAGCACCTAATTAAAATTAAAGGAATAACTGTCCTTAGTAAAAATGAGATGCTACTAAGAGTAATACATGATTAACATGGTTCATATTTCAAATAATATCTTTCTGAGATCTACTTCTGCTACAGAAAAAGGGGCATTCATTCCTTGGTAATATTCATGACCAATATATTGGTAGCCCTTCATTTTCCTATATAGTAATAGAGGATGGAGGCAAGCCAATCAAAAGTGTGCGTTGAAGTAATGGAGTAAGGTTGAAAAAGGTTGTAGTAAATATTTCCACTTGGTATCCACAGGGCATAGTGAAATGCAAAGCCTCTGTCCTGATCACCATTACCTATACTGATTGACTTCTGTACTTGTTGGTAGATTTTCGTTGTTGTTTAGTCGTTTTCAGTCCTGTCTGACTCTTCATGACCCCATTTGCAGTTTTCTTGGCAAAGATACTGGAGTGGTTTGCCCTTTCCTTCTCCAGCTCATTTTATAGATGAGAAAACTGAGGCAAACTGGGTGAAATGAGTTGCTCAGGGTCACTCAGCTATTTAAGTGTCCGAGGTCATATTTGAACTCAGGTCTTCTCTTCTTGACTCCAATCCTGACGCTCTATCCACTGTGCCACCTAGCTACTCTTTGGGAGGATACTTGCTCTTTATCTGTTCCCTCTGTCTTTAGGTGCTAAAGCTGTAAATGCCTGGAGCTAGCTTGGGATCTGTCTGTTTGCATGGCATCACCTTTGTCTTTATCAATGTTTAGATTGTGAATCTTTTTGTCATTCAGCACAGCCTTGTCCACCCCTCATCAGCCCAGGAAAATACATTCCAACTAACAGTTTCGTTTTCATTAACCATTCCTCTACTCCCTGTTCCAGCATTGATCAATTTTAGACTGGCTAATTGGACAAGGGAAGCATTTTTCAAACTTTGGAATTTCTGTGATATCCAAATGTTCTTATTGCCCTCTGCCTGTATTTCTGCCAGGTGCTCAGATAAAGCTACTTTATTAAAGATAGGTCTAGTGTATCATAGTTTCAGATTTTATGAACACTGTATCATATATTTTTTCTAGCCATATAGTAGATCCCCACCCCCAGCTATTCAGTGTAGCCCTAAATTGTATGACAATTTTGTATTAGTTCAAATCAAATGTGTTACAGAAGCTTCAGAGCAGAGTTGGGTGTGGAATGAACTTTGTGTTTTATTGATGTTATTCCGAATACAGGGACGTTTTCCCCCCTCTCTCAATGAGAGAATGCTATGTCTTGCTGTTTGGAATAAGGAATTGCTACGATAACATTGCTATGCTTTTATCAATCTGTCCCACTATTTTGCAATCTACCCACTTTTCTCCATTTCTTTTTACATCTATTCATTTCTGAATAGGTCACTTCCCCCTTCAGCTAGCTATCCTTTGTAACAATAAAAGAAAGACATTCTGACACTCTATACCATGTTCCACACCCTTAGTCCCTCAGCTTTGTCAAGGATTGAAGAGAGATCCTTTCTTATCTCTTCTTGGTAATCGGTGAATGTTCCGTATCCCACATGCTTTCCCTATCACCTTCACTTCTCAGAATCCCTGTCTTTTTTCAAGACTGACTTTAAATGCTTTTCTAAGTTTATCTTCCATGTACCCTGTATTATCTTGCATGTACCATTTACTTACATTTTCTCAAATGTGAGCTCCTTGAGGGCAGGGACTATATTTGCCTTTTTTTTTGTATCTACAGAGTTTAGCACTTCAACCTGGCACACAGCAAATGCTTAATAAATGCTTGTTGATTGATTGATTGATCCCATGGTCAACTGTCAATTAAAGGGGGAGAGTGTGAGATAAGCAAGCCTTTGAATTATGTATCAAAGCCACTCCTGCTTCTTTGAATATGAAAGAGGGAAGGACCAATAGTACTACCAATTTCAGTGAGATTTGGAAATAGGTCAGTGTCGGCCAGGGGACCAGAGGTGGAACAAGCTTCACTCCTTCATCTTTCACGTGGCTTCTGGTCTTGTTGGATGCAGGCAGGAGGACAACAGACTATTCTTAGGAGAGCCCTTAGTAGTTAAAGAAACCAAGTTTTACTTAATATTATTTTTTTCTCTTTCCCCTTCAGAGAACATATTTAGTAGAGTACAGATGAATAAGCCCCACCAAATAGAAATAGAGTTGATGTTGAATATAAGCTTCTACAGGGCATGGCTTTTTTTTTTTTTAACCCCTTGCCTTCATAGACTCAGCATAGTTTTCAACCTGTAGTCTGTGGTGTTGACTTTTATTTTTTTTTTTTAATTTTTTGTTTGTTTGTTTGTTTGTTTTTTGCTAGGTAGTGGGGTTAAGTGACTTGTCTAGAGTCACACAGCTAGTGAGTGTTATGTGTCTGAGGCCGGATTTGAGCTCAAGTCCTCCTGACTCCAGGGCCAGTGCTCTATCCACTGTGCCACCTAGCTGCCTCTGTGGTCTTGATTTTTAAAAAAAAAATCTTTTGATAACTCTATTGCATTATCATTTCCTTATAACTGGTTTCCTTTTTATGTATTTTATTTTTGCATTTAAAAACATGATTCTGACAAGGGGTCCATAGACTTTACTAGACTCCCCAAGGGTTCCATGGCACCCCTCCTCTTGAAGTCAAGGAAAATTCCCATCTGGAAAATAAAACAAGGTATCTCTTTCCTGAGGACAGCACTTTTTCTTCAAACTTGATGTGGTTTCTTTTATCTTAAACCAAACTGAGGAGATTTCTGGAATTAAAACAAAACAAAACAAAACAAAAAACTAAATACACAGACCACAGGTTATGAACTCTTATAGGCATCTGATCCCATGATGTTGAGACTAGTGATAAGATGGCTTTTTGGGTTACTTGTGGAGCTGGTCTTAGCACTTTATAATGACAGCCCTTCCTGATGGGGAAATGCAACAGTGAGCTAGATTTCTCCTACTGTCACAGTGTGATTTCCTTAAAGACACAGAATTGTTGAGTGGGAGGAGACTGCATGAACATTGGTTTATGTTAACTGCTGGTGATGGAGGCAGGAGGAGAAGGGACCTGTGTTTCCTAGAACCTTAATTGACCCTCAAAGCCCTTTCCTGACTTACATATCAAACACATTCTTGGGTCTCTTTCTTCCTTTCCCCCCTTCTTTTAGTTCTACTCAACTACCTGACCACCCAGAGTGAGGCCTTAATGAAATTCCTTTTGCTCCAGCTTCCAGACTTGGTGCTAATTTCCTGTGCCCGTCCCTTTCCCATGCTTTGATCTTCCTCAAAACTACAGTTTATCTAGCAGGAGTTCTCAACTTTGTTTTTTAAAAAAATATTTTGATAGCTATTTCAATATAACTGGTTTCCTTTGTAATCCTATGTATTTTATTTTATGCATTTAAAAAACATTCTGAGAAGTTTTGCCAGACCTACAAGGGTTTTCTGACACAAAAGCTTAAGGAACCTTGCATCCAAGATGGAGCCATTTTGGAACATCCAGCACTGTTGTCCTGGAACCTTTCTTCTCTTCTCCCTCAATGTTCTTAGTGCCCTTGTTCTTTTCTTTTCACTGAAGACAAAAGTCACAGAACCCTTCTTGGTTTCTTATGCCTGGAGAGCATTCAAATCAAACCCATCAAAAGCAATCTTGATTTATTCTAATCAAAATCACCACCTTTATCCTTGGCTCACTTGGTAGAAGAAAGAAAGGGTGGGATTTGCAGAGCATCCTTGAAGCTTTTGCTTGCTGTTCGCTGCCTGACTTGGCAATTATGGGGACATTGGAGCACAGAGAGCCTTTGTTAACAGGTTTTCCTACAGTCTCATCATTTCTGTATATATACAAGGTTGAAGGTCTCCTTCTATAAGGAGATATCTATTTGCAGAAGTGCCTCTTGACTTTCTAAGTAAGTCGTCTCTTCCTTTTGTCTTTCCATGCTCTCACTCCTGAGCTGTTACCCCTGGCAAAATCCTATTTTTGATTTCTTTTTCATTGTTTAGCCATCTTGTCTTTGTCTTTATCATAGGTTATTTTGTAATGGAATCCAGCGCTCCAGGGTGTACATTCCTTAATCTTTTGTGCACACCAAGGGTGTGTTGAGGCAGTTGTGGCTTGGCTGTTAGTCTTAGGAGGTGTGTATATGTTGGCTGAGGAATGAGCTACCCCCTGCTGTGTGGTCTTGCTTACTTATTCTCTGGTTCTGAACATCCCATGATACTCACTCTCCCTTAGCCCTCAAATTCAATCTATTGCCAGCTTTGGTCATTATCTCTTGCATCCATCCCACTGTCTTTCATTCTCCACCACCATTTTACTTCATACATGGACTACTGCCATCATCCAATTATTGGATCATCTATTTATTTTAGTCCTAATAGTAGGCAAAGTCAACTTTTAATGAAGCGGTTTCCTCTGCCCCCAACACATAGACACATCTCAGTTTTCACCCTATCTTGCTTTTTCTCTTACCCTATCTTTTATTGAAGTTAAACTACATATGACCAGTGATTCATAGATGTTTGAATTGAACTGTAGGAAAATGCTCAAATTTATAAACTTTGACCCCAAACTCTGATACCTCAAAGGCTATTTTAAAAAGTTATTCCTTTGTGGATGTGGCTATCCAAAAAGGAATCAAAGGAGTTTAGATACCAGTGGGAAAGCCTCCTAATCCAGAGTCATCTTTTTAAACCAGTTTATTAGTCCTATGAAAAACAAGGTTCATGAAATTGTGTGGACATGCCTTTAAATATGTTCATAGTGTTGTTATGTGATTAAATGACCCTTTGTCTCTGGCAGTTAGTTGTTCAGTTGTTTCAGTTGCGTCTGACTCTTCATGACTCCATTTGGAGTTTTCTTTGCAAGGATGTGGGAGTGGTTTGCCATTTCTTCTCTAGCTCATTTTACAGATGAGGAAACTGAGGCAGGGTTAAATAACTTGCTCAGGGTCACACAGCTAGTCAGTGTCTGAAGCTGGATTTGAACTTGGGTCTTTCTGACTCCAGGCCAGGGGCTCTACCCACTGCATCACCTAGCTGCCCCTATGGTAGTTAACTGTGTCCTTAAAGATCAGCAATCCTCTTGAGGGCAGGGACTGTTTGAGATTACCTTCTATTTACATTGTACATAGTCTGCATGTACCTAATTATTTACATATTGTCTCCCCCATTAGAATATGAACCCCTAGAGGGCCAGGATCAAGTTTTTGCCTTTCTTTTTATCCTCAGCACTCAGTCCAGTGCTTTAATAAATGCTAATTGACTTAGTGACCAACTGAAAAGGTGATAAGATGACTTTGGGGAAGGTGGTCAACAAGACACTCTACCTGTGTCTACTTGAGCCTATGGGATAGAAGCAGATGTAGGTGTTTATTTGAATCATTGTGAAGTTAAAAAAAAAAATCTTCCCTTCCTCCCCACCCCAGAGCAAAATTAGTCTACTTCTGGATAGCCAAAGCTGCAAAACACATCCAATGACCTCATGGTGGGGTGGAAGCCCCAAGGCTTCCACAAAGACCAGCTCAGGGCCAGCTTGGAACAAAAGCAGGTGAAGAGTTATTGGCTATTGACTATGCCTCAGGCAAACCAGAGAGGTCAGATAAAAACAGGAGGGGATTATAGAAGACCATCTCTTGCAAGCTGGACTCTTCCCCTAGACGAGACAATAGAAGAAAAGAAAATGAATTCTGGAATGAATTGGACACTCATTCTAAATGCAGAAGTCATTCCAGTCAAAATACATACGGCTAGACTTAAGATTCACTTGGCTTATTACTTAGACAGAAAACACTTTGTGACTGTCCTTAAAGGAGATGTGGGGGGGTCTGGCTGCAGTTAGGAGGATGGGTCTGCTCCTAGGAGCCAGCACATGCCGCCAGCTCCAGAGCAAGAGATGCAAGCTTCTCTTACCAAGAATAGTTGGGAAAGAGCTGTAGGGATGAAGCATGTGTTTTCGTCTGTGAGTGTTGGTGCCTTCCCTCTTTGATGTTTTTGTGATCTTGTCACAGAGCCCCTGCTTTCTCTCTCAAGTGAAAGGCAGCATGGCATAGCATCCTGGACATGGCATCAGGAAGACTTGGACTCAGGCCTCACCTCTGACACTTAAAGCCCATTAGAAATGTTACATATTGCAATTTAAGTGTTCTGAAACCCCTAAATTTGGCAGTGAGCTTGATAACTATTCTGTACTAGTTGAAACATGTAGATTGAAACTTAAGTAATATTTGTCTTTTTTTCCCCTCTAGTGGCAGCTCCATTGGTACTGGTGGTTTTATGCCCTTTGGATTTGGGGGTGTCCTATCGGGGGCGGCCACCTGCTTTTATGCTTTTGTAGGATTTGACTGCATTGCAACCACAGGTAAATGGATGGGCTTGGACATTGTGGCCATGGGATGGTTTGGGGACCAGTGGTTACTATGACCTTTTGGCTCGTCTTTCCTCAGCTAATTTTGTACCTGAATCATAATTCATCTCTCATTTAATATGCTTAAAACCATTCCTATGCACCTCAATACATTGTAGGGTTGCAGTTTGCTGTTTATTTCTTTCCTTGATTCCTCGTCTAGATGGCAAAAGGAAACCTTTTATCATTAGCAGAACCAGTGATATTGAAAGTCAGTCATACAGTCTGATTCTGACTCCTGGGACCTATGAGTATCATGCACTTAGATATGATTCAGTGGAAGTATAACCAATTACAAAGAGCTTTCCTCTTATAACACTCTTCCTTTCCTGTCCTAAATTGCTGCCTATTCACTACAGATGTGGAAGCTACATCATGCTATTCAAGACTTTGTATTTCTTCTCACCATTTGTCTTTGGGTTCCCAAAATCCCAAGGGGAAGAATCTTATTACTGGTACTAAAGGTCTTAATATTTTCATTCTCAAATAACAAGACTTATTAAATAGAAATGGAATCATTAATAAACTTCAAATAACATGAAAGGTCAATTAATGACTGTTCAACAGCCTGAATTGGACTGCTCTCAAATCAACAAGCATTGAGTACCTACCCTCATAAAAGGCACTGTGGGGCCATGAAAGGTAGGTGCTTGAAATTCAAAGAAATGTGGGAACCAGTTCCTACTCTTAACAGTCTAATTGGAGATCATTTAACTGCCAGGTCAGCATTATAGACAGGAAGTACTATAGTCGTTCAAAAAGGGAGATGGACATGATCAGAAAGACTTCATGAAAAACATGGAGTTGGGCCTTTGTGGAGGAAAGGAAGGAAATAAACTTTTACTAAGCACCTACTACGTGCCAGGTACTATCCTTTACAAATATTCTATGATTTGATCCTCACAACAACCCCAGGATGTAGGCACTATTATTATCATACCCATTTTGCAGTTATGGAACCTGAAATAGGCAGATGTTAAATGATGTGCCCAGAGTCTCACAACTAGAAAGTTTCTGAGGTCCAATTTGAACTTGGGTCTTCCTGACTTCCTTACTTCCACCACTCTATACACTGTGCCACCTAATTGCCTCTGGTAGGATTTATGAAAGGTAAGAGAACTAGGGAAAGGTGGTAGTATTAATACCTGCCTTGAATGGAAGGTTCAATTGAAATTTGGCTTTTATCTTGTTGATAATGGAGAATGATTCTTGAGCATGGGGTTACATGTACAAAGAAAGTGTTTTAGGAAAACTTAAGTTGGAAGACTCATTGGCCACTTACTTAATTTTCCTTATCTGAGCTTGTTTACTCAGGGTTGAGAATGGCCATATTACCCTGGATGTATCTGATCTCAGAAGCAAGGCAGAATTGGGTCTAGTTAGTTCTTGAATGGGAGACTTCCTGGGAGTTAGTATTTACTCAGTGCTTGGTGTTAACTGAGTGTGATTTGTTTTCTTACGTTGCAGTGAATAAAAATATTAAAGTACATTTCAATGTTGTATGAAATTATAAAATACATTTGTATGAGACTTATTTACTCAGTCTACATAGTTGCCTGCTTATTCATTATATTGAATCATTTAATGAAATGGACTCCTTGCATTAACTGAAACTCCTGTGGGTCCAAAACTCCCAGGTTGGGAACCATGGTTATAGATAGGTATGATATAAATATAAATATAAACATAATGTAAGTATAGATAGGCATAATATAAATCTGGTCTCCTATTACCTTAGCAAAGTGACTGGCACATAGTACATATTTAATAAATGTTTATTGATTGATTGATTAATTAAAAAAGATTGAGCCTGGAGGCAAGGGTACTAGTTAGATATGAGGTGATGGGACTTTAACTAAGGTTCAGGAAATGAAAAGGAAGAGATACATTATTAATAATTGATATTATTAATATTGATCTATAATACAATAAGATAGAATTGTTAATAATTCATAGTAATGGAGAGTTGACAAGGCCTAGAGATTGGATTTGAGAGAAGAATAACTCCATGATTAACTATAGGATTCATGTTACCACAAATAAGGAGACTCTTAGTGTAAGAAATTTATTGAAGGGAAAAGTGAGGTTTCATCATGGTGGGTTTGAGGACATCCAGCTGGAGAGTTCCAGTAAGCAGTTGGAAATGTGGGACTAACGCTCATGAAAAAGATCAGGGTTCGAGCTGTTGGATTTGGGAATCAGTGGATATAGCTGCTTATTGAAGTCATGTAAGCTACTTGGAAAAAGATTATATCTCAGAAGAAGCCAAGGATCTTTTAGTGGGAGGAAGGAGAGAGTGCACTCCTATCCCAGCACTTAAGGAAACGGAGATGAGGAGGCGTGTGAAGTGATAGGAGTATATGGAGTACATTGCCAAGAAAGAATCGCAAAATAGCAGAGCTATAGAGGTGTTGTAAATCATGAAGTCAGTGGATAAAGCTCTACTCAGGAGGACTTGAGTTCAAATCTGGCCTCAGACACTTAATAACTGTGTCACCCTGGGCAAGTCACTTCACCCTGTTTGCCTCAGTTTTCCTCATCTGTAAAATCAGCTGGAAAAGGAAATGACAAACAGTATTTCTACCAAGAAAACCCCAAATGGGTAGGGAAGAGCTGGAGATGACTGAAACAACTCAATGATAAATAATAATTTTTATAGATGATGAACCTAAGACCTTGAAAGACGGGAGTGGCTTTCCTGGGTCATATGGATCTGGCAGCAGAATTCAGACAAGGACTCATGTTCCCTGGCTGCTGTTTGTGCTCCTTAGACTCTGCTTTCCTCTTCAAGAAGGGGATGGATGGATGCTCAGTTACATAGAGGTCAGGGAAGGATAAATACTGAGAAGTCCTTTGGATTTGGCAAGTGGGGATGCACTGATAGCCTTGGAAAGAGCAGTTTCAAATAACAAAGCCAGAAACAAGTTTCCAGGGTATAAGAAGGTAATGACTTTAGTGGAGGAGAAGAGGAAGGGTGGTTTCATACTCATCTGTTTGATAGGTAAGGATGGCTTAGTAGAGATTATTGTGTATCTTTAATTCCGTATTATTTAAGGCTATAAATTGCAGAACAATTGTAAATCTATGTTGGTAAAGGGAGTTTCCTTACTGAGTTTCACATTCCAGTGAAATCACAAGAAGAGTCATAAGGGCTTAGTCTGTTAGTATCCATAAATACTTTGGGAGTCTCTTTGCCTGAATTTGTGAATGCATTTGGACAGACTAGGATGTGACCACATAGGGAGTAGAGAGAGTGCTGAGCCTGGACTTAGGAAACAGGAGTTTCATTCTTGGCTCTGACTCTAACTCGGGCAGTTGTACAGTAGAAACAGCAATGGATTCAAACATAAAGGTTTGGATTCTGGTCTTTTAATCTGTGTGAATTTGGGAAAGTCACCTTTCTTGGCCAAAGGGGTTGGATGAGATGATCAGTAAGGTTCCTTCTAGCTCTGAATCTATGATGATATTTCAGTAATCTTTTCTGAGCCTCATTTTACCCATCTTAAAATTTGGCTAATACCAATAAAATTTAGATAATGTATTCTTCATTGGGTTATGAGGAATATGCTTTCCAAAACTTTAAAAGTAGTCTACAAATGTGCGAGTTATTATTTGGTCCATTTTTTGTTTACATTTGAAGGTCTTAGTGTTAGAAGGTTGCTATTTTGGGCTATGATATCCTTTCTTTGTGGCATATTTCTTTCTTTTTTTTAATAGGTGAAGAAGTAAAGAATCCCCAGAAAGCTATCCCTGTGGGAATTGTCGCATCTCTCTTGATCTGCTTTGTAGCTTACTTTGGGGTGTCAGCTGCTCTTACTCTCATGATGCCTTACTTCTGCCTGGATGTCAATAGCCCATTGCCTGATGCGTTTAAGCATGTGGGCTGGGAAGAGGCAAAGTATGCCGTGGCAGTTGGCTCTCTTTGTGCTCTTTCTACCAGGTGAGTTTTGATTTAGTTAAAAATGTTTTTAAATGTTTAAATGTTTTAAATGTTTTTTAAAAAAAAAATAAAATATATAAAAAAACAAATATAGAATACATGAAAATGGCATCTAGATTGAATGCTAGTCTATGTCAGATTATTCCAGTTATTCAACAGTGAGTGATATGTATTTATTTTTTGTTTGACTCTGTTCCTATATGGTGATAAATATCTTGGCCATAATAAATCCTTTTTTTTCTTAATAGTATTTTATTTTTTTCCAATTACATGTAAAGATAGCTTTCAACATTCATTTTTGTAAAATTTTGACTTCCAAATTTTTCTCCCTCCCCTCCCCCCTCCCAAGATAGCAAGCAGTTGATATAGGTTATACATGTACAATCATGCATAACAACTATTAAAGACCATTTGAAGAAATGTCGCAATGTGCCCCAGAAGGATTACTCATAGTGATGAAATAATGGAAGTGAAATATTGGAGTATTGTTAATTTTCTGTTTGACCCATACTTAAAAGACGGTCTCATGACTGAGAGTTGGGGGGTTAAGAGATGTGGGAAGGAAATGGATCAATTATATGTCTTTGTTTCCAGTGCTATTGCTTTATTCTTGATGAGCTCACTATAATTATAGCCTGATGAATTTTGCCTTTTGTCCCCCTAATATCTAGTCTTTTAGGTTCCATGTTTCCCATGCCTCGAGTCATTTATGCAATGGCTGAAGATGGACTGCTGTTTAAATTTTTAGCCAAAATCAGTGAAAGGACCAAAACTCCAATTATAGCAACATTAACTTCTGGTGCCATTGCTGGTAAGAATTAAGAAAAGATCTATAAGAGAGTAAAAGTCAATGGTGTGGTTATTTTCAAAAGAAACAACTTGTATCTCATGGGCAGGCAGAAATGTTCTTACAGTTGAAACTGAGTCCACAGAAGTGAGTCTTTCTTTTGTGAGATTCATCAGAGAATTGTGACTTATTTTTCACTATTCAGTCAGGAGAACCCAAAACACATTTTCTTCCTCTGAAACTATTCACCCCTCCTCTTAGTCAATTGATTCCATGTTGATCTTTTGACCAGGTGATTTCCTCTTTAACTGTGTAAACCAGACATTTGGTTTATGTGTGTTATAGACTATGAACTCATTGAAGAAAAGGATATTTCCCCTTTGGAACTGTTGTTTTGTTATAGGTGCCAAATGTATCCCTGGGGATGTGAACAGAAAGAGGTCTTCTCAGTTTAGGAAGTATTACTTTTGAAGTTATCTTGGCTCAGAACTTGTAAGGAATTTCAGACCCCATCAAGAAGAATGTGTTTAAGTCAAAACAGGAAGGAAACTTGACAGATACAAGGTGATGGGAAATCTGGAGTTCTCATGCCAGATTTCTGCAAAATTTGAAAGTGATAATGTCTGCAGTTGTAGTGATAGGTTGAGTTCTCATTAATGAGCAAAAATCCTCAAATGAATGAGTTATTCTCTAAATATTGTCAGTATTGGCATGTCTGTTAGTTACAGGATTTAAGGTGTTTAATATAAGAGAACCAGTCTATGATGCAATTAATACCTTGATCTCATTCTTTTTAACTGCTTTGTAAGTAGGCAGGACTAGGTCTTCAGGGATAGATTACAAATATGGACAAGGTAGATAGAAATGTTAAAGGACCTACCAGTTAACTTAAAGAATTGTTTGATGAGTAGAAATGGAGGAAGGACATTGCTATTTTGCTTAATTTGGAAAGTATTTTAATTTGATCATATGTGTTGTTTATTGGATCAAGCTTAATTTCCTTCTTGTGGAGAGGAAAATAAGGGAAAATTTTTATGGGGAAGTAGTAAAACATGCCATTCACCAAAACAATTCTGTCATTCTGTGTTTTTTTTTTTTCTTTCTGGTCAGCATTTGTTGATTTCATAGTTCTTAGAGTAGGAATTTAGGCATTTGTGGTATGTTTGACTTGGTGATAGTTTTAACAGCACAGAAGGCCATTTGTAATTCTTTTGCTGCTATTAGTACTAAGTCTCAGGGAGTCACTAACCCTAATTTCTAGCTTTGTCTCTGTCATTTAAATAATTGTGTGACTTTAGACAAGTCACTTTAATCCCACTGTTTTAAAGTGGGCATTATAGTTAAAAATTTAGAGCAACCACAAAGTGAAAGTTTAAAAAAAAAAACTAAACTATCCCTTTTCAACAAAGTTTGATCAACTGGCCAAAAATAATGAGGTAAATTGTAGATCAGTAAAAGACCTTGGTAATGAGGCCCAGTGAGATAATAAATGCTGAGATATTTATATTTTAATTGTACATACATATATTTAAGTAGTATGTGGCTTTTAAAAACTGGGCATTATTCTTACAAATTTATAGCAATCATAAAATGAAGTTAAAAAAAAAAAAACAACTAGATCAGGGGTGGGGAACCTGCGGCCTGGAGGGCCACATGTGGCCTCGAGGCCGCTGGTTCCCCAACTCTGAACTAGACCATCCCTTTTCAGCAAATCTTCTGGATCAATTGTCCAAAAATAGTGAGGCATACTACTTAAAATATATGTATGTATAATTAAAATATAAATAAATACATACAAAATATTTCAAATAACCGCATACCTTTTCTTTCAAAAATTTATAAAATCAATAGACTTTATTAGAAATTTGGCTTTTCATTTGGACAATTATATTCTCAATATTCTGCCAGTGTTGTTGTATGTTTAGGAGACATTAAACACAAGTCCCCAAAGAATTGGAAATGTATATTACATGGAGACATGGTGGGTATAACCAGGCTACAACATATGAGCCATGAGGGACTTTAGGAGATGTTAGAGGGGTGACCACCCAAGAGCTCCATTAGTATCCTCAGGATGTCAGAGGAAATTGGGGTTGGGTTGTAGCCCATGTAGGGAACATAGAACACAGTGAACATTAAAGGACATAGACAGGAGTTGCACAAGATGGAAGGCATGGGTGGGTTTTGATGTATATTACCAGGAATATCCAGATTGAGATGATAGGTCTACTTGAGTATTCTCATGAGCCCAGTCTTCCTTTCTGAGAACTTCTTCTAGGAATATACAGAACCCGTATACTTGTCCTCTGGTAGATCTGTGATTCTTTCAACGATCTGTATCCATAATTTGCAACTCTTGTCCTTTCTTCCTTGTTTTAACCACAAGGGGGAGGCTCCACTCAACATACTGAGGGACCTTCCTCAGTTTCCCCTGATATCTTAAGTATATCTACCTTAGTGGAGAACATAGACTGTTCATCAAATATCTCTTGCAGTTGAAGAACTGGAAGAAAGGATACTTTTGAAGAAATTGATGATGGTGCTGTATAACATTAGACTTTTCTTAGGTAAAAATCACGTCCCAGTGATTATCCTACACTATGGTTTGCTTTTTAGCTATACGACTTCTGGTCTTTCTGGTCATTACTTATTGTTCTAAAAGCAGCCCACAGAGAGACAGAACATGTTCTCTTCCATTTGAGTTCTTTGAATAGGAAATTAAATCTTTGTGGTATATGTAGCTGGGTGGTAGTTTAACAGCCCATATCTCTGACTTCATCAGATGCTGGTTTCTAATTCCCTTTCAGCTGTGATGGCGTTTCTCTTTGACCTGAAAGACCTGGTTGACCTGATGTCCATTGGAACTCTTCTAGCATATTCTTTGGTGGCAGCCTGTGTGTTGGTATTACGGTATGAATTTTCTCTTTTCTCTTTATGCACTAATCACTAGCTGTCTATCATGGAACAAATGAAGACAGCAGCTTGATTCCCAATCTGTGTAGGAAGGGTGGGCTTGTTAGACAGTGACAAAAACCCATGACAAAGGTAAATAATAATCCCAGTCTTGTGGCAAGAATGATAGCTAGTTGGCCATGTGCTCCATTGGCATCCTCTTGATGTCAAGAAAAAAATGAAGAAGGCCCTCAGAATTTGGGGTGGTACACTATGGCAAGCTTAGCAGCATGGACAGAAGTTTCACAGAATGGGCAAACCTGCATGACTTGTGATCTTCATCATTGGGGTCATGTCCACATCAATGAAGTCACTGATACATTTGAGCATTGTATAATAAATCTCTTAGAACTATGGTGTTGATTTTTGTGGGGGGTGGAGCCAAGATGTTGGAGTGAAAGCAGTGACTTGCTTGAGCTCTCCCCCAAACCCCTCCAAATACCTGTAAAAAATGGCTCTAAACAAATTCTAAAGCAGCAGAACCCGCAAAAAGACAGAGTGAAACAAATTTCCAGCCCAAGACAACCTAGATGGTTGATCAGAAAGGTATATCGCACCGGGCGGGGAGAGGAGCACAGTTCAGCGTAGGCGCATGGGCCGCAGCGACCCTGGAGCAGCCCTCAGAGGACTGAATTGTGGGAAGCTGTGGTGGTTTCCAGACTTCTTAACCCACAAACACCAAAGATAACTTAGAAGGTCAGTGGGAAAAGTCTGTGACTGTGGTGAGAGAAGGAGCTAGGTATCAGCTGCAAGTCCCAAGCACGGCCTCTGGGGCAGCAGCTACCTCCTGAGCTTCTGGCCCACAGACTGAGGGGGAATTGGGTGGCTGATCAGAGGGGGATTGCAGGGATCTCTCCGCCAGTGCTGAGGCAGGAATCTCTTGCTTTGCCTGTGCTTGGATCTGGGTCACAGTTCTGAGGGGCGGACCTGGGGCAAGGAAGAGCGCTGGCAAGGAGGAATGCTGGCGTGGTGGAGCTTCTTGTGGCGGTGGAGAGGAAACACCCCGCCCCTTATCATACCACCCTGGAAGAACTGAAAATTTGCAGGTCTCTAGAGGTACCTCTGAAAACAGCTGTACAAACCCCCGAAGCTTGGGACAGTACATTCTCCACATTACCTTAACAAAGAGTTTAAAACTCAAGTAATTGGCCGGGATCATGAGTAAGCAGCGCAAAAAGAGTCAGACTATATTATCTTACTTTGGTGACAAAGAAGATCAAAACATACAACCAGAAGAAGACAACAAAGCCAAAGCTCCTACATCCGAAGTCTCCAAGGAAAATATGAATCAGTCCCAGGCCTTGGAAGAGCTCAAAAGGGATTTTCAGAAGCAAGTAAGAGAAGTAGAAGAAAAACTAGGAAGAGAAATGAGAGTGATGCAAGAAAATCATGAAAAGCAAGTTAACAGCTTGCTAAAGGAGACCCAAAAAACTACTGAAGAAAATAACACCTTAAAAAATAGCCTAACCCAAATGGCTAAAAGGGTCCAAAAAGCCAATGAGGAGAAGAATGCCCTAAAAAGCAAAATTGGCCAAATGGAAAAGGAAGTCCAAAAGGTTACTGAAGAAAATATTTCCTTAAAAATTAGAATAGAGCAATTGAAAGCTAGTGACTTTATGAGAAATCAAGACACTGTAAAAGAAATCCAAAAGAATGAAAAATTAGAAAACAATGTGAAATATCTCATTGGAAAAACAACTGACCTGGAAAATAGATCTAGGAGAGAGAATTTAAAAATTATTGGAGTATCTGAAAGCCATGATCAAAAAAAGAGCCTAGTCTTCATCTTTCAAGAAATTATCAAGGAAAACTGCCCTGATATTCTAGAACCAGAGGGCAAAATAGAAATTGAAAGAATCCACCGATCTCCTCCTGAAAGAGATCCCCAAAGGAAAACTCCCAGGAATGTTGTAGTCAAATTCCAGAGTTCCCAGGTCAAGGAAAAAATATTACAAGAAGCCAGAAAGAAACAATTCAAGTATTGTGGAAACACAATCAGAATAACACATAGCTGCTTCTGCATTAAGGGACCACAGGGCATGGTAATATTCTGGAGGGCAAAGGAGATAGGATTACAACCAAGAATCACCAACCCAGCAAAACTGAGTATAATCCTTCAGGGGAAAAAATGGTCATTCAGTGACATAGAGGACTTTCAAGCATTCTTGATGAAAAGACCAGAGCTGAATAGAAAATTTGACTTTCCAATACAAGACTCAAGTGGAATGTGAAGAGGTAAACAGGAAAGAGAAATCATAAGAGACTTATTAAGGTTAAACTGTTTACATTCCTGCATGGAAAGATGATATTTGTAACTCATGAGAACTTTGTCAGTATTAGGGTAGTTGGAGGGAAAAAATTATATATATGTAGATAGATAGATATAGATAGATAAATAGATAGAGGACACAGGGTGAGTTGAAGATGAAGGGGTCATATCTGGAGAATAAAATTAAGGGGTGAGAGAGGATTATACTAGGAGAAGGAGAAAGGGAGAGATAGAACGGGGTAAATTATCTCACAAAAAAAAAAACAAAAGAAAAGGCTCTTAGAGTGGAGGGGAAATGGGGAAGGTGAGAGGGAATGAGTGAATCTTATTCTCATAGGATTTGAATTAAGGAGAGAATAACATACACATTCAATTAGGTATGGAAATCTGTCTTACCCCACAGGAAAATAGGGGGGAAGGGAACAAAAGAGTAGGGGGATGATAGAGAGTAGGGCAGATTGGGAAAGGGGGTAATCAGAAACAAATACTTCTGAGGAGGGACAGGTTCAGAAGAAAGAATAGAATAAAGGGGGAGTGGGATAGGATTCAGGGAAATAGAGTTAGTTTTTCACAGCATGTCTACTATGGAAATGTTTTGCATAACTGCACATGTATAGCCTATATTGAGTTGCTTGCCTTTTCAATGAGGGTGGGTGGGGAGGGAGGAAGGGAGAAAATTTGGAACCCAAAGTTTTAAAAACACATTTTAAAAAAAAAAATGTTTTCACATGCAACTGGGAAATAAGAAATACAGGAAATGGGGTACGGAAATCCATCCTGCCCTACAGGAAAATAGAAGGGGAAGGGGTTAAGAGAAGGGGGGGAGAGATAGAAGGGAAGGCAGACTAGGGGAAGGGGTATTTAGAATGCATGCTATCTTGGGGTGGGGGGAGGGGCAAGATGGGGTGAAAATTTGGAACTCAAAATCTTGTGGAAGTAAATGTTGAAAACTAAAAATAAATAAATTTATTTTAAAAAAAAACTACGGTGTTATATTGCCCACTTTCTTTCAAAAGGAAGACTTTGGCAGGAAATACTCCATTACCGGAACGAGGTGGGGGAGAGTATGACAAAAGTAGGCAGGAGACAGGATTTCTAAATTAGCAGAAGTCCTGGAGCAAGGATTTTCTTATGGCCTAGCCAGTGTATATGTGTAATATCTATATATAAATGTGTATATGCATAATTAATTTTTTATTGATATCTTTTATGTTTTACATTATCATAACTTCTCTCGTTCTTTCTTCCTAACCTCCTCCCTGAGAGCTATCTCATATAACAAATAGTATTTTTTAAACACAAAAAGAGGAAAAAATCAACACAATTTATCAATGCATTGAAGAGGTCTGAAATGTGCAATGTGCAATACCTGTGGATATTTCACCTCCATAAAGGGGTGTCCTCTCATATCTCTTCATTCAAATCATGCTTGATCTTTTACAATTTTACTATATTTACTTTTGATGTTTTTGGCGTGGCTGTTCTTTCCATTTACATTGTTGTCATTATTGTATATGTCATTTTCTTGGTTCTGCTTATTTCAATTTGCATCAGTTCACATAGATCTTTGCATGCTTCTCCCATTTTCATCTCATACAACACAGTAATATTCTGTTACATCCATGTACCACACTTTGTTTTGCCATTCCCCAATCAATGGGCATCCACTTTGTTTCTAATTCTTTGCTTTCACAAAAAAGTGCTTCTATAAATAATTTGGTGTTTTGAGGGACTTTCTTATCAGTAGTTTCTTTGGGTTAATGGAACCAATAATGGAGTTTCTGGTTCAAAGGACATCTTAGTCATTTTGTATAATTCCAAATTGCTTTCCAAAATGATTGTACCATTTCACAGCTCCAACAATGCCTTACTTAGTGTGCCTATTGTCACACAACACTGATTATTGCTATTTTATATCATTTTTGCCACTTTGCAGGGTATGAGGTAAAACCTTTGGGGTTGTTTTGGTTTACATTTCTCTTATTAATAATTTGGAGCATTTTTTCATGTGGTTGTACATACTTGGCAATTCTTTTGACCTGTTTGTTCATATTCTTTGACTTTTAATGATGATAATGGTAAGAACTAACATTTATTAAGCACCGACTATGTGCCAGGTGCTTTATAGTTATTATCTTCATTTGATCCTCACAACAACCCCTGGAGGTAGGTGCTATTATGATCTGCATTTTATAGTCAAGGAAATTGAGGCAAAAAGAGGTTAAGTGATTTGCCCAGGATCACACAGCTAGTAAGTGTCTGAGGCTGGATTTGAACTCAGGTCTTCCTGACTTCAGACCCAGATGCTCTATTCATATTCCACCTTGCTGCCCCATTAGTCTTATATATTTATTAATTGTTTATATATCTTAGATAGCAAACCCTTAGAGAAATCTGATTTAAAAAAAAATCCCCCCCCCCATTCAACCACTTCTTTTATTCTAGGAGCATTAATTTTGTCTATACTATATAGAAACTTTTCAGTTTTGTGTCATCAAATGTATGTATTTTTGTAATTTGTATTTCTGTTTTGCAATTTAGTAATTGACTGTTCCTTTTTTTTTTTTTTTTGTTAAAACTGCATCTCCTACCCATGGCTGTAAATGATCAGATTCTCTTCAAATTTTTATAGTGTGCTAATTTTTATATAGTATTTTTATAGTGTAGAGGATACAACATTTTTAATATTAAAGTGGAATATAGTGTAAGGTGTTGGTCTAAGCCTAATTTCTATCAGACTGATTTAAAGTATATGCAGCTTTAAGGATTGCAGATTGTTTTATAAATATTCTTATTTTCTTCTCACAAAAACCCTGGGATGTTGGTGCTATTATTACCCCCCATTTTATAGATTGGGAAACTGAGGTTGAGAGAGGCAAGTGACTTGCTCAGAGTCACAGTAAGTCTCGAAGCCAGATTTGAACTCAAGTTTTCCTGACTCCATATTTAGCACTCTATCCAGTGCACCAGTGCACCATCTCACAGCTTGGTCTTAATAGCTAGGAGAATAAAGTAATTTTTGTGGCATTTTGGGAGTTAAAGAGTTGAAACTAATTTTTCCCCTTTGACCTAATTATAGAAAGAAGGTCATGGCAGTAACTGTTATTCTTTTGTAGGTACCAACCAGAGCAGCCCAACTTAGTATACCAGATGACCAGAACAACAGAAGAACTAGATCTTGTGGATCAGAATGAAGGAGTGAGCAACAGTGATTCTCAAACAGGATTTTTGTCAGAAGCGGAGAAATGTTCTCTAAAAACCATATTATTCCCAAAGAACACAGAACCTTCTAAACTCTCCGGGTCTGTTGTGAATGTCTCAACCAGCCTCATAGGTAATCTCTTTACATAAGGCACCAACATTGTTAAATAATAGCAGATAATGATAACTCACTTCTGTAGGTTTTTAGAGTCTTTCCTGTGAGGTGGATAGTGGGAAGTTGGCCAGGAAATTGAGGCTCAGAGAGTTGAAGTAGCATGCCTGCTGGTGTTCACATAACTACTGAGTGTCAGACCGGGAACTTGAACCTAAATTTTTGGACCCTTGAGTTCTGTGCTTTTCCCCTCTCTGTACCACGTTGCCTCTCAGTAAGCTTTGTAAGCACTTTTGGCATTTTAATGGTTTCTGGCAAATCTGAAGGGTGATGAGAAGGCACCTTGCTGCTTGCCTAAGGTGATTATGATTTTGGTGCAGTATTTTAATAGTCACATTAAGAGAACAAAATGGAAAAAAGTATGCCTTGCCCATGGAAAATAAACATTTCTTCTGAGGGGAGGTGGAGAATGTCTGATGTTAGTCTTAGAAAGCCGGGCGAATGGTTATTTTTAATTTAATTTATTTAATGCCTCCCGTTTGGTTCTCTTCAGGGATTCTTATTATCATCTTCTGTGTCGTCACTGTCCTTGCTAAAAAGGAACTTGGGCAGGGGACCCCATGGGTGATCTCTGTCCTTGTAGGATTAGTTTTCCTCTGCTTTGTCATCACCCTCCTCATTTGGAGACAGCCTGAGAGCAAAACCAAACTTTCATTTAAGGTAAGTACCTGTTTCCAGATATTTTCTACAGAAAGATTATTTGGAAGATTAGTGACTGTGGGAACTACCATTCTAAAAAGACTACAGTATCGTATTGTACCCTCTACTCTGTGTACTCTCCTAAGAGTATTTTCAATAATGGTGGCCACTGCTAGCCACTTTCAGGGTGAGTGACACTTTTGAGATTGGGGACTGAGTGTGTACTGACTAACCCATGTAGACAGCTAAATCTGTTGACTGGGTCTCGACACCAGATCACCTTTCTGTTTCCCATCCCACCCATTCAGTCATCCAGGCTGTCTTACTATCTGCTTACTTCCACATGTACCCCTTCTCCTTTACCTTTTACATCCCCTTGCTTCCTCCTACAAAATTCACTTTACTGGTCATCTCTCTCCTATATGTGTTGACCTATTAGAATATAGGCTCCATGAAAGCAAGGACTTTCTCTTTTTAAAAATATGTACATATGTATCCCCAGCACTTAACACAGTAAGCATGTAATAGAAGGTAATTATACAAAGTAATGCTTTCTCTTTCATTCATTCATGTATGTGAACTTGTTTGGGGCCATGAGCCCTAAAGCCTGTTAACAATGTCTTGTTAAGAGATAGGAGATAGTTCCTGAGGTCTTTAGGAGTAGGGTGGTGGATATGTGGGGATCCCCTATGAGGAGGCTAGGAGAGATCATTATCACCCATAGGACCATAGACTATCAAAGCTAGAAAAGATCTCAGGCCATCTATTTCAATCTGTACTTAAAATAAGCATCCCCTCTACAATAGACAGACCCAGGTGGTCATCTGGCCTGTGCTTGAACACTTCTTTTGAGGGGAACCTGCCACCTAGCAAGGCAGTGCAGTCCAATATTGGATAGATTTAATTGCTAGGAATCTTTTTCTTATATTAAGCCTTTCTTTCAGCAAATGTGGAAATTAGAGTTAATTATTAAGGCTGAGGGCCACATTCTCAGCTGTGGCACCCATTCCTGTAGAATTTTGCCCTTGTAGAATAATATGGATGTTTTCCCTTCTCATAGTTCTAGATTTCCCTCTGTAAGGATCAATCCCTTGGGAATTTGGGTGTCTCCAGGCCCTGCATAGGTGTTCAGTAGAGCCAGTCCTTAAACCTAACCTTGTTTCTTTGCAGGTGCCCTTCTTACCATTACTTCCTATTTTGAGTATTTTTGTGAACGTCTATCTCATGATGCAGCTGGATGGTGGTACCTGGCTCCGGTTTGCTGTGTGGATGTTGATAGGTAGGTGGGAGTTCTGAGACTTCTCTTTATCATGTTAAACATCTTTTATTTCCATGTTCACTCTTTCTGGAGGGAGCTGAGCCCTCTTGAATATTATCTGCCTCTTTGTCCCAAGGCCTCTAATGCTACATTGCTTTTTCTATCCTCTGCTATTTTTAGTAAGAAACTTGATTTATTAGAGACTTCCCATATTTCATAATAAAATATTAAAAAAAGATTCATTCAGCAATTTTCTCTAAAGCAAATGAATTTCTAGTGGGATTTTCTTATGGAATACTTTGCATTTTATAACCCAGGCCGCTTATCTCAGTTGCTAATGAGGCCAAGGTTATGAGCTTGAACTACATACAAGTTGGTGAATTTCATTTAGAAAAGAAACATTTCCATGGGACTGTATCCAGAATCCTAGCCAACTTATTTGACAAATGTAGGTTGTGGCCACAAAGGGAGCCTGTGATAAATTTGGTAATCTGCTACAAATGTCGTCGTCAGTCCTGGGGGTGGGGGGGGGGGGTGGACCTGAATGGAAGTTGTTGGGAGTGACCATGATGACCTCATGTGAGGTGCTATAAAGTGGAGGTAGGTCTACATTGGGTCTGGTTGGAGTGGGGTAACCCCCCCTTCCCACCCCAGTACGGGTGAAGTCACAGCTTAGAGCTATTCAGCCACTTGCTGGCTGTCAATGGCATTGATATGGACAAGAAGCACCATTACTGTAATGAGATATAGTCATTTAGGCATAATGCCCAACTGCATTCCAGTGTGGTCAAAAGAACAGGTAATTTTTAAAACCAAGCTGTTCCTTACCCTTTTCTCTGTTGTGTTTGTGGCACAAGGCAAGTTTCTTCATCATTTCTCCCCTAGCCTAGAATATGGATGCTCTCGACTCTCTGTTCCTTTTCATTCTGGCCCAACAGTCACCAATTCTCAAAGTATAGAGTCAGGAGAGCTATTTAACATTTCATCATAAATTGGCATGGCTGCCAGTTCCCTAAAGGAATGAAGTAGGCTCACTTTCTTGACTCCCATAGGATGGCTTGGTTTGTACAGCCTTACAGCCAGTAGGATCTGAATTCAAGTCTCTCCTGAAACATTGTCTTGGAAAGTCACTTAACTTTCCAGTGTCCTAGGAGACTCTCTAAGTTTGAGTTTTGATTTGCAAGGGTAGAAGGAGTTTCTATACTGCAAATTTTCTACATAAAATCATCAAGTCCAGACTACCCCATTTTGTTCCCCACCCCCCAAAGATGTTTAGGTGAAGGTCCCCCCATCCCATAAGTAAAAGCATTGGTGCTGTATCACAAGATTAAACGCATTCTGTACCCTAGACTTTTAACCAAGAGTTTTATATGAGGGCCTTTTTTATCCTTAGTGAGTTGTCATAAACACATCCGCAGCCCCTCTGAAGTGAAGCAGCAGCCTACTAAGTCTGTATAGGGAGAATAGCCTTAGGGGCTGCAGGGCTCAACAGATGGATAGGTAGAGTGAGGGCACTAGGGGAACCTGCTGCTGGGTCCGACACAGGCACATTCAGATGACCCTGCAGTAAAATGGTCCTCAAGGGTGGGGGCAGTTTTGCCTTTGCCTTTGAGCCCATAGGAGGCCCTTAAGAAATGCTCAAGAAATTAAATGGAAGAGTCATTGAGTTTGTCACCACACCTTGCATGTCATGCTATTTAATAAACGTGTGTTGATTGGCTAATCTTGGGGGCTTACTACTTAGTGCAGTGAGGTCTGCAAGTGCTTTGAATCTGATTTGAACCAAAGATGTCCTTCATTGTGTTTGTCAGTGTATATCCCTATTTGAACATTGATTTTCCCTTTTCTAGTTTTATTGGTGCCTTTTGTTTTCCTATCACATTCCTTTCCAAATATATCCCTCCCCCCTTCTATGTACTTAGCCTTCCCTTGTACCAAAGATTAAAAATGAAATAACATTTATTTTTCCAAATATAGTAAGCCAGTCCTGATTGGCCTTACCATCTGCATAACCCCGAATTCAATGCTGCATAGAAGTCCCTTTAGTGAGCGATCCTGTTACCTTTAGTGAGTGATCACCCATTGTCTGGTTTTAAACAGGGATAGCACTTGGCTGTGCATTTTGGCTGGGGCTAAGGAGCTTGAACCAGGGACACACAACTTCGAGGTTCCAGTGTGTTAATGCTGAATTTTCTTTCCCCTTTCCTCTTCATCCTCACTCCCCAACAGGTTTCCTAATTTACTTTGGCTATGGTCTGTGGCACAGTGAAGAGGCATCCCTGGCAGCTGGTTCAGTGAGAACCCCAAACAACAGTTTGGACCACTGCAAATGATCCATGGAGCCCTGGACTGTGGCAGTGACAGCTACTCCCTTCAGAGAAGAACAGCTTTTGCCTCCATGACTCAGAAACAAGAAAAAACACATAAGTGTGCCACCCCTCCCCCTCTCTCCCCTCATGCCTTCCCTCCAATACTAACCACAAGGTGCAGTTACTTGAGTTGTGGCCTCCCCTAAAAGCTCATTTACCTTAGAGACAAAACTCCAAGGAATTGAGCGGCCCTCCAGTCCCCCTAGACAAAGTTATGGCCTGGGCCACTTAGTTGAATGCTGGCTTTGTTTTCTTCTCTCCCTTCCCCTTTCTTTAAGTCAAAAGAAAGCCTCTCTTCCCCTATTCCATAGGTAGGGTGACCACTGCCATTGGCAAAATTGAGGTCCTTTCTTTGGCTTCCCCTCATGAGTTAGCTCCTTCCTCCTCAGATTCTATGTCTCAATTTGAAAATGCCTCATCTCCATAAGTTCAGTGCCCCATTTTGTAATTAAGAGTGTTGGGCGATAAGCTGTGTACTGCATCCAAGAAGGGTCCCATTCCCCCCCCCCCCCAAATGGGTCAATCCTGGGGCAGCTAGGTGGCACAGTGGATAGAGCTGAGTTCAAATCCGGCCTCAGACCAAACACTTGACACTTACTAGCTGTGTGACCTTGGGCAAGTCACTTAACCCTAATTGCCTAAAAAAAAAAAAATGGGTCAATCCTGCCAGCCAAACTATAGCCATTAATTTAGGAGGTAGGGGAGAAAAACTTGGGCATGTGTTTCATCACCAACTTCCATTTTTCCTCCTCCCTATTTCTTCAAGAAAGATCTGAACCATCTCATATCCAGTCCTGTTTTGCCATTTAGCCTTCTTTTGCATACCCATTCATGCTTCTGTCACCATGGTGGAGGACGCATCAGTCACCATTCCACTGTGAGGACTATGGTGGTATCATGAATGGTTGAGGTGCAGATGTGTAACTGGCTCTGAGTTCTGCTTGGGATATGTCAAAGTGAAATTACCAAAGTGAAGATTATCATTGGACCTGCTTCTCATTGACTGGGATTGGCTTTGAACCATCCTGTATGAATGCTCTTGGGTGACTTTTGATGATGTCTGCCTGAAGCAGGAAGGTGTAGGGAGCCTTTCTTGACGCTTCACTGACCCTGACTCATGTTGCTGTCTTCTGCTGAGCTCTTTGATGGACATCTCTAGGTGATTGGGACATCAGATTGAATCTGAGTGCCAACTTCAAATTAACACAGCTCACCATTTTGGGGTGGTGGTGATACATGGCTATTCACCTGAATTTTTCTTAAATATTTTGTTGTAAGTCCCAGTTGGCTCTACTGATTTTTAAGTGTATTAAGACAGACTTTGGCTTAAAAAAATTTGACACCTTCCATTTACAGTTTTATCCAGTATCAGAGGTGAATCCAAGGAGACATTGATGGGGGTGAGAATCCAGCATGGCCATGCTCACACTAGATTGGTAATTCACTTCTGCAACCACATTTCTATTTACTTGGCCCTTGGGTCTGTAATGAGTTATTAACTGCTGTGGTACCACCACCAAGTTGGGTCTGTCCATAAAGATGAAAGTTACATACCATTCTGCATTGTTGGGGTTGGGGGTGGGGGACATCTTATTTATACCCAAGTGACTCGGGTTAATATAATACAATCTCTTGGGTTGCAAGAGTGTTGGTTCTAAGAGTCAAACTGGCTATTGCAGAACTAGTATTGCAGAATTCCTACTTAGTGTGGGAACTTAGACCCGATTCACATTTAAGGAAGGAATTCAACTGCCTACAAAAGTGGCTCTTGTCTAGTGCTTCTTCTGCACGATTTGGAGCGGATCTCTCCCCTCCTCTAGGCCAGGCCAGGTGGAGGCAGCTCACGCAGCACTTCATCACCTTTAATATGACTTGGATGCCTCAAAGAGGCAGAAAAAAAAACCACCTCAATAATTTGTGTTAATGGGTTAATGCTATAACTAGGCAACATGGAAAGTAGGAAAAAAAAAACTTTTTACCCTTAGTTTCAAACTTCTCCATCTGATCAAATCTCCCCTTTTTAAAGATAAGAACTAGACCTATAATTTCATCGGTATGGGTAAGTCCCGGATGAGGACACTCCCTCCATCAATGCAAGTCAGTACCTCCTCAGCAACTTATTGCTTTGCCCAGAGTGCCAGGAGAAGTGACTTGTCCAGCTGTCAAGTGTTAAGTTAGCTTGAATCCTCTCTTCCTGGCTTTGAGGTCATAATTCACTATTTTTTTTCCTTCCCTTCCCCCATTTCCCTTTAGGAGCCATTTAATAAGGCTAGATGGCCTGAAAGGTGCCACAAGGGGCTTTGGACTATGGAGAGTTGGCCTCCATTCATGAGTCTTTAGTGTATAGAAATATGGAAGCCAACAAACCCCTATGGTGGTTGTCTTGCCTGGATAATGGATCTACTCTAAATTTCCACAGACAAGTGAAATAAATGGGGAACCCCCCTCCTTCCCATTACACTGTTTATATTAAGATAAAATTTGTGAACAATCTTGGCAAATCCTAGATTTCCAAAGGAAAAAAAAATTTTAATTCATATAGCTATAATTTTGATAAATATTAACTTTTTTGTTGGATATTTAATATCTTCTGTCTCTTTAGGACTGGTCAAAGGTTTCCTTTTCTTATAATGTATTGAGAAAATGGATGCAGTAAGAAGAAAAGGTTTAGGATGGAAAATTTTACTTTCATTTCTCTTTTTGGCAGAAATTTTACTGCAGGCCCATCCCTTGTTGACTATATTTAGAGTCAACAATCCACTTCTCTCTCATAAATACCCATTGTCCCCACATTTCAAAAAGTGAGAAAGTGTATTTTATTTCTCCCCAAATTTTTCTTGGAGAACAAGCTCTTTGAGGATTACTCTTTTCTTCCCTTCCCTGTGCCTTAAAGCCTTAGTCAGAAATATGCAGGGGCTCAGAGAAAAAGAAGGGACCTCCATTACACCAATCTCCTTTTTCCATTCAGAAGACTTACCATGTATATAGACTTCATTGTCACTGTACATTTGTTAGGAAATATATTGGATAGCTAGCAGCTTGAGCTTTTTTCACTGGATAAAGGAATGAGGAACTGAGAAGTGTTACTTTGGGTTGGCCAGGATTGGGCCTCCTATTGTCACACACTTTCTCATCCCCCCGATATTTTCCTTTGGTGAAAAGACCATGAAAACAATAATTTAAAACACCTTAAATCTCTTTCCATGGGAATTTTAGTACCTTATTCGTTGCTTAGTCACTTTTCCTCCCTAATTTAGCCTTTTGCTGTAGTAGAGAGACCCTCAGGGGAACAATATATGTGCTTTCATCTGTGTATGTAGCCAATAATTGTGCTTCAGTCCCTCCTGTATACTTTGGAAAGACCCATTTAGACTGGTAAGAGCTGCTTCCTTCCTTCCCTGATCCCCACCCCAGCCCACCCCATGCATGTTTTGCTTCCTTGAAGACCTAAAATCATTAATTTAAAAAAAACAAAACAACTCTATTCCCCTCCCCTTCAGTGACAGAAAAACAGCCTAGGCTGACTACGTTTTTAAAGTCCTGTGGGGTGTCATGGAGCATATGTTTGAAGACAAGGAATGTTTCATTCTTTATTTGTATCCCCAGTGGCTAGTACAGTACCTGCTGCACAGTTGGTATTTAACTAATGTCAATTATCTTGAACTTTCATGAATGATCTTAGCATTCTTACATTTTGATGATGCTTTGAAGCAAAGCAAAGAATAAAAGAATTGGTTTTATTGTTGGGCACAAGGAGACTCATCCTGACAAAGAGGGCCATATGGTCTTGGGATTTGTTGCCAAAATGACAGATTAGGCCCTAATTAGGCCCTTCCAGGTCCTTGGGTAAGGCCTTTTGACCAAGCCCAAGTTTTACAGAACAAATTCTTTTATCAAGATTTGTTCTGTGAAGTTTGGATTTAAAGGGCCACATTTGAGGACCTACAGGGCCATATGTGGCCCTGAGGTCACAGGTTCCTCACCCTGGATTAGGGTTATAGGTATTGCTAGATGTGTGCAATAGATTCACTCTGGAAGATGATCTGTTAACTTGCCCCATGGGAGAGTAAGTCTTCCTCACTTGAACACTTTTTTTTTTTTTGCATTAAAGCATCATTAGTCACAATCTATAAAAAACTGCCCACCTCTTGTCACCAAATAAGTATCTACTGATAGATATTGTGGAGTCAAGGGTGTGAGGCACTGTGAAAGACTTTTGTCTTTCTTTTTTTAGGGCAACTGGGAGGAGTTGTAGTTAGTATTTATGGGTAACAGGAACAATGTGCCCTTCAGTCTCCCTAAGCACCTATGAAGATAAAATGACTTGTGTATAGGTTGTGTATATTACTGATGTATGTAAGTGATGTAGAAAATTGCTACTTAAAGTGGAATATTAAATATATATTATAAATAAAATTGTTCAGTTGCCGCGGGAAAAGGGGCATTTAGGTAGAAGGCACTTGATGGGGAGCAGGAATTGTGCATTTTACCTGAGTTGTTGCTGGATTTGTTTTTAATTTTTCCTTTAAATGCTTTACTGATCCAATGGTGCAAGAGCCCACCTCTATATCTCATCACTGCAGATGCCTATTGGACTTTTAAGGCAAAAAAAGTCAACTGAGTTTTCACCGTAATTCAAAGATCTTCAGAAGAGAAATGGTTGATTACTTATCTGTGAGTGGCAATCACATCGGGCAAAAAAAGCTAGGAAGCACTTACCATCAAAGTTTTCCTGCCATGCCTTTGGACATCTAAAAGACGCTACCTCCTATGTTTCCCAGGAGCCTGAATCCTCCATCTTTGATTTGCTTTCTGTGGAACTGGTAGTTTCAAAACCAGCCAGTCTGAGAAACCAATATGATAAAAGACCTTGCCTGTTAAAGAGTCCAGACCAAAATTTCCTCAGGGTATTAGCACCTGGCTTAGCCACCAGGAAGCAGAACAATGTAAGAAGCATTCTGACTCCGTCTGATTTTGCTTTCTTGATGACAGAGAGAGTGTTAAGTTGAGACTTTGTTTTTTTCTAGATGAGAAATTAACAATCTGGATTTAACGTTACAAAGTTTCCTGCCTAAGTTGTGCCTTTTAGCTTGAAGACTTTAAGGAGCACAAAGGATGACGACGACAGTGAGGATTGGTTTATTATCAAACCTATAGTTTGATATGTGGTCCCTTCGGTAAAGTTTCCTTTTACTGAGAGGATCTATGAAAGAGTTGTGGAATTTTAATTATATATAATGTATATATTTTTTTTGCTTGTTCAATGTCCTATTTTTCTAATAACTTCTTATAATTGTGATGAGATTTTAAGTCTAATACTAAATGTATATCAAGTTGGTTTCAGCTGCTCTTTAGTTTGTCTAGTTTTTTTTTTAAACTTTGTAAGTGTAGCCATCACTTTTTTTTTAAACGTGAAAACTAGCCCCTCTGGGGGGGAGGTGCAGACCTTTCACAGTGACAACACTTTATGTAGAATTAATCCTCTTCTTACCTGTTATCCTCCCTTACTTGTAAAATGCAGTTCTTGTGGCACAACATTAAGTGTGGCTTTCCAATGCTAATAAATG